GATCCACCTTGGGTCCACTTCCTTTTTTTATTTTTATTAATGACTTACCTTAAGTTTGTTCATTTGTATGCTGATGATGCTGTTATTTACATTTCTAACACTGATAAATTACAAATCCAGGATTCTTTACACCTCGATTTTAACTTGGTCATAACAACAGACTTGTACTGAATAAGAAATTCTGCAGCATGGTTTTTGGCACATGACACAACCATTCACATCCCCTCAATATGCATATTTATTTTGATGACTGATCACCTCTTGACAAAGCTGACTTGTTCAAATATCTTGAACTTTGGATCGACCCTGAACTCTCCTTTCAGCCCAATATTAATTAATTTATTTATTTTATTTATTAAAAGAGTGTATTGTTGTCTTAGTTCAGCTTATCGATCAATTCATTGTTTTACATTGCAGGTCAGGAAAAGAATAATTTCACAGTTGATATTACCTATTATTGATTATGCTGACATTGTCTATCAAAACACATCTGACACACATCTTAAACACCTTAATGTAGTGTATAATTCTCTATGTAGATTAGTTTTGAGATGTCCATATAGAATTCACCATTGCTTCATGTATGAATCACTGAATTGGCTGCAGCCTAAATCTAGAGGGCAGTTTTACTGGATTCAGTTCATTTTCAGATGTGTTCATTTCAAGTGTCCCTCATATTTGAAACAGTTTTAGCTCCATGTAATTCCTACATATCCACTTAGATATATGCAATATCCTTTTCTTTGTCCCCAGAATTTTCAAAGAAGTTCATTCCACTACAAAGCTCCATCTGACTGGAATAATCTTCCTCTTTTCTAGAGATCTGTTACCTCTTTCTGCTGCTTTCATGTTTTTAAAGAGTTGTACTGAAAACTGCTATGTAACTATTCAAGGTCACGGTATCCAATTCCAATTTTCCTGTACAACAGGTGAGGGCAGGGGGTGTGGGTGGGAGATAGTGAGCTAGATGTCTCTATCTGTGTATTTGTAGTGTATGTTTGTTATGTAATGCAGTTTTGTTTTTTGTGTATTTGTGTTTGAGGACCCCCTTGAAAATAAGATGCTACATCTCAAGGGGCTAGCCTTTCAATAAATTCAAATCAAAATCGAATTCAAATTTAAATTCATCTTAACAAAGGGTGAGTAACTGATATTTAAATAGTCATTTCATGTGTGAAGTGTTCCCTTAAGGGGAAAACCATGAAGCATTCTTTGAAAACAGATTTTATTTTTACGTATATGGTTTGTTTTCATAAGAAGAAAGTGTCATAAGAAAATGACAGACAATAGTGATAACAGAGGTAAGTGTTTAGGCTGGTAAGGAGGATGTGGAGGTTCACGTGGTGTTCACAGTTGTTCAGGTATAAGCTGTATTTCAGGTATAAGCTGTATTTCTAACTCTTGGTTATATGAGAGCACTAAGCAGAGGTGTGATGTTGGACTTGGTGCTGCAGCTCACCTGCTGGTTTCCAATCAGCTTCCTGCAGCTTGCAGCTCCAACATGCTTTAGTGTTCATCTTCCTGCTCAGCTCCAGTTTAATTAGACCTCAGAGTCCAGTCACATCACCTGCTGAGCAACACACTCACCAAATACACAATAACAACAACAACAACAGTAACGGTTGTACTTCAGTTTTATTGTTCTGAGAAAATCAATACCAAGTAATAAAATAAATTACTTCCTTGATTTTATTTTTTTGAACATATCCTGGTCAGAGGTGTAGAGGGAAATACTGCGGTCGGTTTGTACTCCTCACTGACCTGTAGGCCTCAGAAACACTTAACTCAGAGGGTTTCCAAGATATCTGAAAAAGTTTAATGTGCTTGAATTTTGGGAAAATTAGTTTGCTCTGAAAGAGAAAAAAATGATGTCCACAGGTGATTAAACAAAGCAGACCATTTTCCAAATAAGTGGACCTTCCTTTATATAACTGATCTCCAGCAATTTAAACACATTTAATAAATCAAACTCAGATCTTCAGTTTTTTGCATAAAATATGGAAAATTAACAGAGAGCCAAAGAGTCTTGTCCTCGAACAGATGGCATCCAGTTTAACTTAAATTAGCTAAATAATAAATGTTAAAAAATGAAGGCAGATCAATTCAAACACAAAACCAAAAAATGAGGAAAAACAGATTGTCAGTCTTTAAAAATCAAATTCATTTTTCACTCCTAATCTCTCTTTAATTGTCTTTCTATAGACAACATGAAAAACAGCTCCTGTCAGTTACAACGGCATCCAGAAACCTGAAAACTGAACCAAAATACATTTACTTAAAAATATAATAACTCTCTTACATCAGCTGTTACTGTTTTTACAACTTATTTCTTTTCACCAACCTTCTGAAATACAGAGCCAACATTAGTCTGAGCTTAATACTGTAACAATAATTGCATATGACTCCACTCACCTAACACTCTGAAGGAAAAACTAAAAAAATGATCTTTATATGTAACAGTGAAATGTGTCTGTGGCTCTATGAGATTAAAAATATCATACATCATACGATAAATGGAAAACAAAAACATGCAAAACTTTACATAAATAAATGTTTGGGTTCTTTTTTTTTTTTTGTAAAGGGGGAAAGATAAAGATAAAACATTATTTATCCCAAGGGAAACTACCTGTAGCATTTGGGAGCCTTTAAAACAAACAAATGGCAGTCAAAGATTAGATATAAGATGCAGGTTTGGACTCAACTGGGGTTTTAGCAGTTTATGAAGATAAGGCGTAATTAATTCACTTCCTCTCCCCTCATCTGGGGTGTTCTAGGTTTAATCATCCTCATGAAAGCTCATTTTGTCATATTGTTTGTTGATGGAGAGAAAATATAATCTTTATATTGTGCTTTACTGTAGCTGGCTGAGTGGCCGCAGATATTTAATGTAAGCAACAGTTGTGCTAAGACGCTAACATTACCTGTTCTTACCCTGGAGGTAAAGTGTGTGACTTACTTATTTTAGTATTTTAGAAACAAAATGGGAAATGATTACTTATCTTGTGTAGGGCTGAGAGTGTAAATTACATTTTGTACATTTTTTTGTTTTTTGTGTGTTTACCTGTTCAGGAAGTACAGATGTGTCGCAAGCATGTAAATCTGGTGCAAAGCATCTCTTTTTTTTGTTCACAGCTATCTCTGTATTGTCCCTGACAAACACATTAAACTACTTAAAAACAGGGCTTACCAGTTAAAAGAATACTACACCAACAAAATGACCATTTGTGTACCAGTTACTCACCACGTCTTTGCTTTTTTGCCTCCTCAATGAATGGAGAAACAAAAAAAGGGGAACATTCTTTATATGGCTCCCCCTTAATTGTTGACCAGAAAGGACATTAGTCGCAGAAAAAAACAAGAAAACAAACAAATGTGAAACTCTTTTAGGAGCTGCGCTTTGTTAAAATAAATCAAAACCTATATGAGTGGACCATGTGGGAATTTCATTTGAAAGGACAGACACAGGAAGTGGCCACGTTCAGCAGTCAGACAGGAGTCATGTTAATTTCCAGGGCTGGTACCTGCAGTTATTCCACAGGCTAGTTAATAACATGTCAGGCAGGAAATCCAAAGTGTGGGATCATTTTGAGAAGGTGAAGGATGAACCCAAGGTGATATGTAAACTCATTGTCATTGGTCGACTACAAACATGACGTATCATCTGAAACATGGAAGTAGCTACATGCCCATTAGCCACTTAGCACATTCATTACTGCTTTGCAGACAGCGTCATTAACAGGCGGCTCGCTCAGTGTGTGACGTGCACGTGTAGATAAAATATAGGCCTATATTAATGAAGGTTCATTGGTAAGGTTTTGTATTTCTCTGTGATGTAGCACAGTGTTAACAGTGTTACTGATACTATTCTTTCTCAGACCTTCAACTCAAACCATTGTGTTGCCCCGCCCAAAATATATAGTTTATTAACTAAATTTATATCTTAAATATGCAGGCAGCTAGTTGACTAATGCCCCTTAATGATGACTATTGGTCAACTAGGAAAAGTCTTTGTCGGGGGCAGCCCTGATTCTTTATGAACTGAAGTAATCAGGGATGACATTCAACAACAACACAATATCATAACTCTTACACAATGATGCAATATAATCCATGTCTCATTTATCCAACTGTATTCTCAGCACTTCGCAAACACATGCAATTCTGTGAAGACGTTACAACATAAAACACTTCTGCCTACGAGTAGCTTGAGCAAACGCAGGTGCAAGGTGTGCTTCCTGTCTGTGCGTGAGACAGTTGGTAGTGATGTGCTTTCAATCATAATGTTTTAGTGAAAATGCATGTGTTTGTGAAGTACTGAGAATACAACTGAATAAATGAGACTTGGATTATACTGCACTACTATTGAGCTGTGTGAGAGTTTGAAAAGGGGTGTTTTAACATAGTTTTGTTTTTGTTAAATGTCGACCCATTTACTTCAATTCATGAAGGATGGTCTTCTTTTATGTTTTCTCCGTTTACCGTGGAGGCATGCGAGAAAAATGTATTTTTCATGAATTCAATATAACATGTGGTGAGCAACTGATACAAATGGTCATTTTGTGGGTGACGTATTCTTCTAAATATCCTCCTGAGACCCTGTATCCTCATATGAGGACATCACATTTTGGGTTTACTTAACCTTACACTTTATTCTACTGAACTTACACCTGTTGTCCTCATTTGTGGACACTTTTTGTGCCATCTAGTGGTAGTAAGACCACAATACACTAATCCATGTAAAAACAAGATGGCAGCCATCTCTGCCAAGTCAATATGCAGCCGATCCCTACACAAAAGTGGACAAGATCCAAAACCTGATCACATTTTATGGTTGAAACTTGTTTATTTATGATTAATACTGTTCATAGTTTGACATGGCAACAAATGTGACAAATTTTAGCAACAGTAACAAAATAAGACACTGTTAATTGGAAAGGAATAGTTTGAGGACACTGGGACTTAATTATCGTTGACAATGTTTAGTTTTTTTATACTTATCGGGTCCTACTGATCCCTGATAGCTAGGAGAAATTAAAAAAGCACACCAAACAAAAGTTCGGGTCTCAGGAGGATAAACCTTGGATGACAGGTGCCCTAACTGTTGGACTCTGACGTTGTCATGTCATGTCATGTCATGTCATGTCATGTCACGTTGTCAAGTAATTAACCTAAAGTTCACACTTATAAGCACATATAAAGTCTCATCACTTTGAAACACTGTAAACCTTTCATGCTGTTCACAGCAGTAATCTCACAGGTGGTTTGTGTTTATCTTATGTCTGACTTGCAGCCACTGTAATACTGCTGTGCTTGCACATGATGTTATCTGAGACCTCTGCAGTCCAAAAATTAAAAGGTTGTGATACAACATTAAAGATGTCGAAACATGAAGAGTGACAGTGTTGCTTGATAAGTTGCTGCACATGTCTAAATGTTGTGGTGTGTTTGTATTTCTGCATTTTGAAATTTGTTCCAGATGATTAGGAGGCACTTAACCAACCAGGATAATAACAAACAGCAGAAGTGAAACCTGAAAACAGGGCCGGCTACTTTTCTCCAATCAATCTGTTGACAAAATATCTGAGAAACTTTTATCACCGAAACAGTTAACCTGTTAAAAGAGAGATGCTGTGGGACAGTGAAATACAAAATCCAGTTAAGCTGAATCCATTTTAAGATGACTGTCTCAACTGAGACAAAAATGACAAAAACAAATTAAACAACATAAACTTTTTTGAAGTTAATTCAATAGCATAGATGAGTTAAAATAGTCCCAACCTGATAGCCCCACCCCATCCCCTCTACAATGTCCATAAGAAATCCTCTACATCAGGCACTTGTTGATTAGTCCGTAACCGCCCAATCGGAAACAGCGAGCGGCCCTCCGTCCTCCAATCACCTTCTCTCATTTAATTAGTCCAGGCAGCGCCTTCGCTCCTTTCTTTAGTCTCCTCTTCGGCCCGACTATCTCTTCGTCTTTCTTCAGGCTCCGGGCGCTGCGGTGGATGCCAGGGGAACTCAGCTCGATGTTGTCCAACGCTGGGTCGTCAGGCGCCACGGGCCGCGGTGCTGGATAATTGGGCTCGTAGTAGCGGTAGGGATCATCCTCCTCAACCTCGCCGTAGTTCTGGAAGACGGTGGACGGCAATTGGACTGGGGGGATAGCGTCGCGGTCAATGACATCTTCACCCTCTGTGTTGCCAACCAACCAGGCAGCGAGCCAGCCAGTATGCCAGTCAGACAGGCAGAAAGTCAGTGAGAGCCCAAAACAAAGATGGTCGACCCCCCGCCACCACAGGAAGCAAAGTTTTGGATTGGTTTGTTGGGGTGTGATTGGGTTAGTGAGACAGGAAGAGGGGGCGGGATGGGAAGGAAGGAGCAAGAGACACAGAGGGACAAGGGTTACCTAGAGTTACCAAGGGTTACCAAGGGTTATTGAGTCAGGGTTACCAAGGCAGAGTTAAAGGGAAGGATACATTTAGGATTACAACTGCAAATTAAAATAAGCAAAGAAGTTTGAGTTCAATGTGAGAAGTTTTGTGCAAATGTCTCGTAGTTTCATCGGGCATTCATTAGATTTGTTATGTTTTAATTCACATTCAAATTGTCACAATTTAACTTTTTAAGTGGTATTTTTCAAATTTAAGGTATCTAGATACTTAAGGTTAAAATAACGTGCAAAATTTCTATTGATAAGTTGTCATGCATATGAGCTTTTAGGACCTCATATGATTTTTTTTTGTGTGTTATGGGAGTTTACATTAAGTTAGTGAAGCCTGTGGTTTAAAAAAGAGGCAATGGATGATCGTAATCTAGAAGAAAAAGTCAGGAGAGGACGATCGTGTCAGTGGGAGTTCATGGTACAACATCTGGGCTCAGTTCTGTTACGCCAATTTAAGAATACATCAGGTGACATTCTGTAGTTTCTTCTTCTCAATAAATCACATGCAAAGACTAAAACCAAGTGAATGTATCTACTAACAAGTATTGTGTGTGTATCAAAGTCTGATATATCTTCCTCCTCTGCGCCATACAGCTCCACTGTTGTCCAAAACTATTAAAACGCATCAGTGAGCCCCACTGTAGCACTGGGTGACATGTTTTTTCATTACCATCAACACACACACGGCAGTTTATTTTGACTTAATCCCACATACGCCCAATGTGAATTAATGTGCTGCTGAAAATAATCCCCAATTGAAAAAGTGCATTTAGTGGTGGGCAGGTGTGTCTGTGGGCATATGGGTGTGCAACAGAGAGTGTAAGGAATGCATGACAGTTGTGTCACAAAGAATACTTGAATCTCATTTAATTATTCAGTCCCTCTAGAAAATCGCAATCTTGCGATCGCAATAATTAATGCAAATTCAACGAAAGTCCGCAATATTTGTGGGGGCTTGCAATATTTCAAAAGTTCCGCAATCTTTCCGCATTTTGCGGAAATGCGACGTCATCAGATGCGTCATCAAATGCGCTAATGGCACCACAGTATGGAGAAATGCTCTGTATTGATATAAGAATTTGCACTGTTTAAATGCATACAATATGTGTTGAATTTATTAAAATGTTATGTTGACATTAGATGTATCTTACATGTTGTTTTACAGTCACATTGTCTGGTTTGAGAGCTACAATATTCACTCAGGATTTTTTGCAACATTATTGGAGTCCATGTTTTGAAACGAATTAAATAAACTAAAGAAGAGAACTATAAAAAAAAAAAAAAACATTTGCAGCTATTTTTGTAATATTCAGTATGATTATTATAGCAAGTGATTACATGACTTTTTTTTGGAGGTAGTAATTTAAAAAAAAAATCACATTGTTTTTCTCCTTTTGTCATTAGCCGCAATTTTTGTCATTTGCCACAATTTCCCGCAAAAAAAAAAAAAAAAAAAAAAAAAATCACATAAAATTGCAGCAATTTTTATCACAATTTTTGACAAAATTCAAGGGTTTGTGGGCACAAATTCAAGGTTTTTTTTGCCAGAGATCCTGGAGGGACTGTTAATTGTCTTTCCTGACTCCCTTACAGACAAGAAATAACAAAAAGTCAGAAATTATTACCAAATTATTGGTATTGGTCTTTTGACTGGATTTGTTTACAATAAGGAAAATATACAATAATACTGGCCTTATCTTTTAAAGGGTAAATAAACCTGGACCCTATTATCCTATGTTTTTGTGTCTAAGTGACTAATGGAAACAACAATTTTTTAAATCGGTTCAGTACTGAGCGAGAGCGCTGCAATGTAAACTTCCATCCATGTCCGTCCACTAAAAGTGTTTGTTTTTGCCACTGACATGCTCAGATGAAAGGATCCCTACACAGATAGACCTTTTCTGCTGAAGCATAAGATCTTTTTTTGTTTAACCAGAAACAGCCCCGAAATTTGACCAGACTCCATTTGCATAAACTGTAATTTTAGCGTGTATAGACACTTTTACTGTTAGGAAACAGTATGATGTTTTCTGGTGGGCGGGGCTAAGCTGGAGGCAAAACAATTCTCCATGGACATTAGCCAGTGCTACTATGCCAATCTTACAAAGGAGGACGACACTTGAACAGTTCCTCCAGTTTGTTTTGCTATCGAAGCTAACGTTAACTCATACGCTAAAAAGTTAGCATCATGGAGTAATCCAATATTCCTCTTAATAGCTCCCCAATTTCTGATGAGGTGGACAAGATAACCCTTAATACACATAACGTTATTCATCCCTACAACAGGAAATACTTTTTCCCTAACCTGATATGAAGTGTGCGCTGCACATGTGAGCATTTTGGATGATCGCCTCCATCCAGTCCTTTCATCTTATCACATTTACCCATAGTTGTCTTTGTTTTTGTTGATGGACATTGGCGGCTGGTGTGTGATAAAATTTAAGTTTTGAGCCATGACTCTTTCCGTTCTGGCTCCCAATACCACAACAAGACAACATTTTAAGACTCCTATGTAGCCGACAGCCCCATGTGGAAGAGTCATGTTTTGCCTCCAGCTAATAAACTGACATCACTGTGACGTCAGCCCTAAAAGAGTCCATAGAGCCAGCATATTTTAACGTCTAACTGGGTGAATTAGGGGGTTAATTTTAACCTAACCAGAGTCTGTGATTGTTGAAACAGTGGAAAGATGAACTGAGGTGTTTTTTGTGGGCACTTTTTAGTTTCTGTTGACTTTGAATTTAGTATGTTTTATGATTAGAAAATTACCGACTTTTTAAAATGGAGTCTGATGAGTTTCATGATGCAATTTCTTGGCTGTTTCTCTTAAACAAAAAGGTCTTTCTCTGAACGGATCCTTTCCATAATGCTGTCACACACTTAAATAACAAGCTGAGCCTGTCTGTGATGAAAACAAGAACTTTTCATGGATGTACACTGACAGGGCGAACATGAGTGTTTACATTGCAGTCTGTTTCATTGCTGCTGACTGCAGTACTTTTGCTCAATACTGGATGGATTTCAAAAATTGCTGGTCCAATTAGTCAGGTGGTGGTTTATCTTTAAAAGAAAAAAAAAGATGAACGATTATGATGATAATATGAATGTTCACGGGCTGAGAGAAGCCTACAAAAGCATGATCTGTTTAAGCACCTATTAGAAAAGAGCTTTAACAGGAATACTTTTTGTTATTATCTCTTTCATAACATATTTTTCATTTCATTTTGGTGTAACTGGATTCATTTTAGTCCCTGTAAACCACCTTCTAACTGTCTTATCTTCTAAGATGGTACAACATTATGTGTAGGTAAAGAGAGTCAGGGTCGAAGCTGGTCAGCTGATGCAGTGACACCACTTCCATCACCTGCTGTATTTTGCAGCCTCTTCAGCAGTTAAAGCTACTAAAAGCTGCTTTTGTGATTTGCAGAGTTTGTGAGAGTGACTCAGTTGTCACTGAAATACTGTGCTGAGGGTTATGACGAGGAAAAAATTGTAAAACAAAGTGATGATAGACAGACAAACAAACCAACAGATGGAGAGACACAAAAACAAAGACATAGGAATGATTACAACATGCAGACGTTACTCACATGACGACCCTGCAGGCTGCGAGCTGTACAGCACCTTTAAGGCTGCTGTGTCACCTTTAACCTCAACACACATTAAGGGTTAACACAATCATGCATGTAAAGACGGGTAAAGATGGCTCATGTTGGGTTTTCTTTCAGAATTTATTATACCTATCAACCTATACCTATACCTATACTTATACCTATCAACCTATACCTATTTATATTGTTAAAAAAGGCATGTATTCTGATTTGAGTATGTGATGCAACCTTCGTTCAAAATCTTTGGGGAGTTTATAAACTATACATTTTTGGAAAGTTCAGAGTCTGACAAACCCAAAAACCAATGTTTCCATTTTGGACTTTCAAAATGGTGACCACCCATTACCTGTTTTTAGCTGGATCCCTAATGATAAATCAAATGGGTTCTGAGTTTATAAGTTAATTACATATTTTTCAAGCCAAAGAAAGGAATGGGACAATTTCCAACACATTAAGAATTGAATCTGATGCTGCGTCTGCCTATAATGTGTGTTGTATTAGGCAAATAATTGCTGTATCTCTTGTTAATACTACATTTGGCAACTAGCTAGGTAGTGTTAGCAGCTGGCTTTAGTAAAACAACAGCAAAGATTACCTCAGTAGCTAGCGTTAGCCACTGGTTGACATACCCAGCTAATGTCAAGTACAATAAGTTATTTAGCAGTTGTCAGATGAGAACTCGCTTGACAGCTAAGACATAGGCACAGATAGGCGTCATTCAGCCAGGTGACTCTTTCTATTGATCTGACAGAGCAGAAGACTCTCTGGTGAGAGAAAGAGAGGAGGTGTGCTTAATGGTAAATAAGGACTGGTGTGACAATATGAATGTGAGGTGCTGTTCTGTTCCTGCTCATCCTGCACCACAAAGAGAATAAACACTCTGGATCACGGCCATACGCCATTCAGAGGTGATTGCAAAGCAGCACTGCCTGTGTACAGGAGGAGCCAGGAGGGGTTCAGTACTTACTTCAGTGTCTATGAGGTGAAAGAATTGGTCATAATCTGTACTCATGTTCACTTTTCCCATTGGAGTGAAAAGTATGAATATCTGAATGCTGAATATCTGGAGTGCGTCTGAATTGCATTGGTGACTTCTTGCTTCAAATTTGAACAGTTAATGTTCGAGCACCAATTTTGTGGTGTGTGAGTGTGGAGCCAACACTGATTTGCATCTTATCTGGGCCCTCTGGTGGGGAGATCCCAAAAATATTTTAAATGATTTTAAATTAGTGGCAAATCAGGGCTTAAGTCATGTAGAGTTAACTAGGCATAACGCAACATGGTTCAAGATCGTTCTTAAAGCTGAGGATGACATCGTTGAAGCTCTGAGGATGCTTTCAGATAATTAAAGAGTAATGGAAGAACAACAGAAACACTTGACTAGGTTTGTGCGTGCTTCCTTTTACTCAAAAGGAATCGCAATAAGAAACATTCCAGAGCTGAGATGGCACATTTTGACAAATATAAGGCAGATAGTTACAAGCCACCACCTACAGAGGATGCGCTGAAGCAGCTTATTGATAGGGGAGCTACATGTGCAAGCTTGAGTTTGGTGCCAGGAAGCATTCAGCAGCAAGTAGCTTTGAATCCTCTGCAAAAAGGCCACTACATGGATGATAAAGGCCAGTTGAGACCCACTACCCCTGATGTACTACCAGCTCCTCAGGCCATCATTGAAATGGTGAGATGCCACTGCAAAGGAGATCGTTCAACACTAAGATGTCCCTGTAGGTCAAAAGACTTACAATGCACTGACCTTTGCTTTTGGAGAAAACAATGTGAGAACGATGAGGACTAAAGATCTAAAAACCAGGATTAAGATGAAAGTGATACTGAAGATGAAGACTGACAATTTAAGTTTACAGGCAATCACTAAAACTATAATGTGATTGTATGCTGCCACTCACCATTCAAGTTTCTCTTACAGTTTCCATCCATGTCTGTGAAAACATGGACGCTTCACACACAGAAGATCTATTCAATCAGCACAGTTTCAAGATTAGAGTCACCAATTCAGTATCTGACCAAATATCTTTCCATCTGTGCCTGAGATATGATGCTGAATAATGGACAGAAAAGTGTGTTATGCAGATCATTATGATGTCACAATGAAGTTGACCTTTGAACTTTTGGAACCAGGAAGTACGAGCACATTAGTCCTGTGCTCAGGTCTCTACACTGGCTTCCTGTGGCTCAGAGAATAGACTTTAAAGCAGCTCTGCTTGTGTACAAGTCTCTCCACGGCCTAGCACCAAAGTACATCTCTGACATGTTAGTGCCATATGAACCATCTCGGACTCTAAGGACCTCAGGGACCGGCCTCCTGCAGGTGCCCAGAGTCAGGACTAAACATGGGGAATCAGGATTCCAGTTTTATGCAGCTAAAATCTGGAACAGTCTTTCTGAAGATGTGAGACAGGCCTCTACTCTGACTATGTTCAAATCTAGGCTCAAAACAGCTCTATTTCACTGTGCATATGACTGAAAGGATCTTATCTGCACTCTTCTCTTTTAAAGTTCATTTTATAATGATTATTTATGTTTTTATTTTGTATTGTGATTTTAATGCATTTTCTTGTTCTGTAAAGCATTTTGAACTACTTTGTGTACGAATTGTGCTCTACAAATAAACTTGCTTTGCCTTGCCTTGCCTTGCCTTTTGGATATAAAATGATATCACCTCATCATTTTATCCTATTAGACATTTGTGTGAAATGTTAGTGCATGAATTCTTGAGTTATGGCCAAAAACATGTTTTATGAGGTCAAAGTGACCTTGACCTTTGACCTTCAACCACCAAATTTAATTAATTAATGTCCATGTGACTGTTCTTAGCTTATGTGAACATCTGAATAAATAAAATGTATGTTCAGCCATCGAAAGTAAACACCAGCATAGCTTGGAACCTTATTTTTTTTAATAAAGTGTTTTGAACATTCACTATTTTTAAAATCCAAAATGGCCACCATGGAAACATTTATCTTCATATTTCTCATGTTCTAACGATTCCAAAAAGATATAGTTTATCAACTCCCCAAAAGTTTTGAACGAAAATACACAAGGAACTGGATTAAATACAAAAGCTGCCAGCAGCAACTTTTATGTGAAATTTGGGAAGTAATATTTTGCTCTTGTAATGAGCCCTGGTGTATTTAATAGTGATATATGAAAAAGAAAACCCAGCATGCAGCATCTTTTCAGTGAACTGATTTAACCCAAACTCTGCTGAGTGATTTAACAGAAAAATCTCAGCTGCAAAGTGTTAAGATGCAGAATTCAGTCAGTGATCTGGTTACCTTGTGGTCACCCTTTGCTCATACGTGCAGGGGACCGTGCAGTTTCAAGCTTAAAGGGCTGCTTCACCCAATTCACAGTCAACACATTTTCTCATTTTCTCCCTTACAGTGTTTGTTTTATTTGCTGAGGTTTTGAGACCCAGCGAAATGAAAATAATTTAGGGGTTTTTTTTGTTTTTTTTTTCTGATAGATGCTTCCATATTTATCTTTTTAATGATTTGGGTGAAGTGACTCTTTAGGCATCTTTGAGGTAGGTAGGTATTTCAAAATAAGACAACTGCACAACTGAATTTCACATGCATTTCAGACACGTAGCCTGAACACGAGCAGAATTCTGTATCCTGACAGTGACTGTATTTCAAGGTCTTCAAATACACAGCACAGAGTAGGACGGATGACCTCAGCCACATGCAGCCTGTTTAACTCTGTGGCAGCTTTTCAACATGAAAAGGAACCGACTGAATTAAACGTTTCACTTCACAACCTTCAATCCAAAAGACATTCTCTGCATTGAAAAAAGCTTTTCATGCTCAGTTTCACAGTTTACAACATCCACATTTAACCAAGCTGATGGGTTTTAAGTAAGATACTTTGTGTTGATTATTATGCGTCAGTATTAGATACAGTAGAAGCAAGTTGTGTAGACTAAATGTGTAATTTAGATTTCTTGTTGCAATGCCAGCCCCCACACTCTGTGGCTGTAACTACACAGCAGTCACAGTGAAGGCTAGTGCAGTCCAGTAGTAGACTAGATAAGATAACTTCAATTACACTGAGTCCAGGAAATGTCAGGTGTCCCCGTTGCAGCATTTTTATAACTAGTTTCAGGCTGTATGATTGTGGCCAAAATGATGACCAGGATTACTCTAATCAATATTGAGATCATGATTTATTAATTAATTTTAGGAACAAAATATTTTCATTGCATTTTCACATTTAAATAAACAGAGTGCTGCTTTCACTTCCACGCTGTGCTACATTCCTGCTAATGTGCAAATCTTTGCATCAAAATAAGATTAAAAATAAGGTGAATTCTGTGAGTCTCCTTGAAGCAAAATATAAATACAAGTGTTTATTGGACTAATGGCTTCGGCCAAATGGAACTGATGTATTTCAGTCTGTCTTTCGGAGCTGGATAGATATGGTGACAGGCTATACAGCATATCTGGATGTCTGAGGGTGCCGTCAGACCTAGAGTTGTCTTGCTTTGGTCTGAATCAGGGACTAATTTTGTTACAAAGTTGCATAATTGCCAAAGGTTGGTTCATGTTCTCACTGCAGCATTTACAAGCGGACCAGATAAAATGCCTTGCGCGAGTAAGCTGCTCTTGATTGGTCAGAATTTCCATGTGGGAAAAATCCAGGAAGTAAACAAAACATTGAAGAAGAGTACACTTGCAAGATAAATGTAACACTTTCTAATGTCACAATGGAGGGACAACTACCAACTATGTGGGTTGATTTTAGCGCTGGTCATCGTGGACTATATTGCTTGCATCGTTCATTTTAGTCAAACCATACAGTTTGAAAACGAGGCGCGGCTCCAACTGCAAAACAGTGTTTTGATGCATTGGATGTGCTCAATGTGCATATTTAGTCAGTACAGGAGGAGGCGCACGTTAATAATCCTCCAGGACTGTAACATGCTCATGTTTAACCCAAACAATGTGTAATGCGATTGCAGTTGGTTCGGCTCGAGGTTGGAACATGTTCCCACCACAAATGAACCGCATAAGAGTTACGTTAACGACTTTACTCTTCTTTGCCTTTATGCATTCATCGTTCTTCAGTTTGTGGTGTTTTTCTCAGGAGATTGAACAAGTTAATTGTATTGGTTTGTGGAACCGACACGAGTCTCATACAGTCTAGATCCCAAATACTTCCAAACAACAGCTGATGATCTGTGTAGAGGGACTAGATCTTTGCCTTCTGCTCCTGACATTTGATTTTTGTTCTGCTTTTCTGCTCTCCGTTGTATGTTGCTCTTCTACTCGGGACTGCAGCCACAAAAGTAAAGGTTTTTAGCTGCTGTGTGCATGCCAGCTGCCATGGCTGTTAGTTTAGGAAAAGCTTGATTTGATATGCAGCAGTTTTCTATCAGTGGAACTCGCATTTTAAACGTCAGTATTGCAGTCGATCAAGACCATTTAATTGTGGGAAGCTAAAATCATGATCAAGTTTAATTTTTCTGTTATTCTGCAGCCCTAAACTAGTTGCCAGTTTAGTGTTAAAACTGCTGTCGTCATATTTATTTCAGGGACCCGACATACCTCCAACATTGTAGCCCATACAGGCATTCTGGTCGCAGTAGCCTGGAGGCCCAGCAGAACCGACGGGTCCAGGGACCCCAGGCCGACCAGTGGCTCCAGGATTTCCAGGTCGCCCTGAGGGACCCTGGCTGCCAGGTCTGCCCTGCCCTTGGGGACCTGGGAACGGAGGAGGAATTTATGAGAAACGATTAGGAGGTCCATATTGAGAAGTACTGGTGAATGAACAGAACAGTTTAGTAATGTTAATATACCAGGGGGTCCTGAGGGTCCTCTGGGGCCTTGGACTCCAATACCTTGAGATCCTTTCTCACCCTTTTCTCCTGGCTGACCTGGAAACACACGTAAAACAGTGTTGTAATATGTCGGTAAAGGATAAAGTATGTCATGTTGGAAGTCTTTAAGGCATGAAGTTTTGTGTACGTACATTCCTGTTTTTTTTTTTTTTTAATTTATTTATTTATTTATTTTTTAAATTTGAACAGTTTTAATGCTTTAACCTCTTCCTCTCTGCCTGGTTGCCCGAATCCTCGGATGACATTCCTGTCTTCTAGAGGCTGCAGCGGGCTGACTTTTAAAGCTAGAGTGATAATGGTATTGACAACACCTAAGTTAAAGCTCAATTTGGGCGAGGAAAAAACTGGCATGTGTTATGATCCTGGGTTTTTGTTTATATTCTTTATTCTTACATCTTGTGGACTTTGTTTTGGAGTTTTGTGTTTGTGTTCTTCCTTGTTTCATGTTATTTATTCATGTTTAATCTGCTTCCTGTTTTATTTTGTAGATTCTCTCCTCATGTGTTACCTCCTTTGTTTGTGTGTTTTCTTGCCTGTTTTCTGTCACACCTGTCTTGTTAGTCCTTCCCTGTGTTCCCAGTCTTCCCTTCACACCTGTTCTGTATTAGCCTTGTTTGCTACACCCTAATGTTCCCCTCCACACCCTTGTTGTAGGCCAATCTCCATTTCCCTCCTTTTGCCCATGTCCTCCTACTCCAGTGAGTTCATCGTATTATCCTGATTGGTTTTCAGTTAGTTTTGGTTCTTCTGTCATGTGGACTTTCTGTGGCCTGCCTGTTTCAAGAATTTTTTTTTCAGCCTTAAGGCCCATTTTTTGTTTAACCTTCAACCTCCCTACTGCTCTGCATTTGGGTCCTTCCTGAATTGATTTATGACAGCATAGCCATTTCCACAGGGGTCCCTTGACCTTTCACCTCAAGCAATCTCAATGACAAAGCGTTCAAGGGTACCCACGACGTGCCCACTTTATGCTAGTCCCAACCAGTTTTGGGGAAAAAAAACCTCCAGTTTTTCTCATGCAGTTTAAATGTTTTTTTCACCTAGTGTACTTGAATATTTCTTTATACTATGGGTCCCTCAGCAGTCTTGGAATTGCATAAACTGGGTCTGACTGCAAAGTTGAGACTCTTGTGGATTTAATGAGCTCAGTTGTATTTATTATTATTATGAAACTTGACCTCACTGTAAAAAATGGCCTACTGTGACCTGTAGCATAATCACAACCCTGTGAAACTTTACAAACCCAAACTAGAGACCATAGGCATTCAGAGGATATTTGACTTCCTGAGATATATTGACAATAAGAGTGTTTCTCAGCAGTTTCCAGATCAGAAATGCCCGCCTTCCAGTCACTAAAAAATACAAAAATCCTCAAGCCTTAATATCTTAATGTGATATTTTGGAGGGATTTACTCACCGTTTTGATCGGTTTTCAAGTGGTCAAAAATGTTTAAATTTAGCACCAAATCTGGATAAAAAAAAGGTATCAACCCAAAAATTGCTGCAAAAACTTATAAGACATTGTAAAGCATGGCAGTGGCCATCATATACTTCCCCAGTAATGTTCTAAGCCCCTGTACACTCAAAATTTTCAAAGCTTGAATAGCCATGATGTATACCATTTCTATGTGGAATACACTGCTGACCTGCTATCTCCCCATGAAGATCCTCTGTCCCTCATAAAAAAAACACAAAAATGGTACATGGTAGGAAGGGGGGAGTGGAAAAGGTAAAAGTTCACAGTGTCCACTGGGGAGGGACTCGCCCAGGTTTACATCGCTTAACTTTTCAAACATCACATTTTTGTATCAAAGCATTCCCTGGCAGTAGTTAGAAGTTTGCTCCCCCACCATGTGAAACTTTGTTGACACCACCGTGATTCTCAGCCCATCTTTCAGAACAGACAGTTGCGGTCATCCCTTTACCTCTCTCTCCCGGCTGCCCGTTCTGGCCATTCTGTCCTGGGAAGCCGGGTCTTCCTGGGGGACCCTGTTCTCCCTGTGGCCCTGGACTTCCCTGTCTGCCAGGCTCTCCAGGGGGTCCTGGCACAGTGCGGATGGACACCGGCGGACTGGGCGCGTGGTTCAGGATGGAGTTGTAGCGTGCCATGTGGCCTGGAAACAGGAAAAGGAATTAATCTCTAGAGACTGGATGAAATATTCAGTCTTAGGAGGTCACAAACCTGCAAGCAACATGTTTGGAACCCCCATGCAGGTAATTTATTGAACTGCAATTCTAAAATTAATCCTAAAACCAAGTCTTGTTCCTCAAACTTAGAAATATACAGGAGGTATTTCTACTCACTCTGAATCAGCTGCTCACAGACCTGCCTGGCGATGGCCTGAACTGATGCTGTCGACTGCAGGTCACCCTGGAGACAGGCGAGCAGAAGTATTTTTAATTATATATGGACTTCCTTCTGTAGTGATTAAGATAGATGGTTCCAATACCGAGGTGGCCTGAAATATAATTTTTTAACAGCCAACTGAAACAATTTGAAAGGAGCCAACATACTCGGCAGTTCTGTAACAACAGTAATGATTAATGATTAAGGTGTTTGTTTGTGCCAAGAGAGGCTGAGCTGTAACTTTGCAGTATGTTTACAAAATCATTCTTTTTTTGCAGTGTGTTTGGATCCTGAGCTGTTGCCAGAGCTGCTGCATCAATGTCTGACATTTTTCCAACTTCTTCTTACAAACTGCTGATGTTGTCACCAAAGTTTCCATCAACAACACACACAGAGAAGCACTCATTTTATTAAGTATCCTTCAATTTGTCATTTTGTCCGTGTGAATGTTCAACACTCACAATGTATGAGTGATCAACAGCTTTCTGTCTGCAGATTTTATATTCAAAAAAAATAATTACATGCATACACAACCCTTTTTTTTTACTCTTACGAGTGACATACCACATAAAAACACATCCACACACATATCTCTGTGTGACAGTTCCCACAGGTGACTCTCAGCCTGGCACCAGGTGAGCTGTTACTATCAAAGTTAACTGTTGCCTTCCCTCAAAGAAAAGAATAAAACAGAAACCATCCACCTCTAGCTGTTTTTGTTGGTTGAGCATTTAGTGAAACTCTTGAATAATTTAAATTCAACCACGGTTGAAAAAATCCTAAATCACACTTAATCGCACTAATTTGATATCTGCTGTGGTTGACGTTACTAAGCTCTCACATAAATGGGAGCCTGCGATGAGTTTTCAGGATGAAGCTGAAGGGAAATAAAAAGATTACTGCTGGTGGTTACAACCCTGTAGCCTTCACTCTGAACACCAACATTGTCTGAACAGCTTGAGGTTGACCATACAAAGTTTGTGGTTATTATGAGCTAGGGTGGCAGTAGCTCAGTCCATAGGGACTTGGCTTGGGAACCGGAGGGCCGCCGGTTCAAAATAGGTCCTGTTTGTGCATGTGTGTGTGTATTTCGGGCCTGTGTGTAGATTCGGGCCTGTGTGTAGATGTATATGACAAATGGAGTGAAAACACTGAATTTCCCCCTTGGGGATTAATAAAGTATGTAAATTTTAAAAATCAAAATTAATTAAACTCTTGAGATGTTTACATAAATATTTGACACCACTCAAATGAGTCTGGCAGGAATGGATTAAATTAAAAAAAAAAAGATCATATTCTCATTGTCGTTTTACTTTTACTGAGACAGGAAGAAGTCTGAGGAGAAGTTTGTAGAGAAAGACACCGGAGAAATTATTCATGTGGGGTTTGAGCAAGGGAAATATTTGACCTCTGACCTCTCCTTAACATAATCCGCAGCACAGTCTCTGGGTGTGATATCCTGTGCTTTGAAGATGAGACATTTGAACTGCACTAAGTGACAGAGCAGCAGCTTTTCTGTATTTTTAAACTCTGTATGGAGTTCAAAAATACATAGCCTCATGTAGCCAGACCTATCTCCACAGAGCTGTTCCAGCACCAGACAAGGCTCTGAGAGCACACATTATCATTCTGCTATAAGAAAAAAATGCTCTGGCTTGTCTTTTAAACCAATCGCAACTGTCTTGAAAAATGACAGAAATATGTCGACTGTGTGATTCACCTTTTAGTGATAAACTAGAAATAGTTAATTCAGTCAGTTCAGTGAAGTTGCAGTTACAGTTTACATCCATGTCTGTTAAAACATGAATGCTTCACACACATCTTCAGCCAGGCAGCACAGAAGATCTATACAATCAGCACAGTTTCAAGGTGCACACCAAAGATTAGTGTCACCAATTCAGTAGCTGATCAAATGTCTCCCCTTCTGTTCCTGAGATATGACGTCTAGTAATGCTCAGAAAAGCATTTCTGAAGAACATTATGATGTCATAGTGAAGCTGACCTTTGACCTTTTAGTTATAAAATGTCATCAATCATTTCATCCTATTGGTCATTTGTATGAAATGTTGTCATAATCATGTCATAAATATGAATTCTAGAGTTTGGACTAAAACTGTTAACTGTTGAGGAAATTCCCTTGAGTAGGCTGACCAAACGTCCTCTTTTGCCCGGACATGTCCACTTTTCATGTCCCGTCCGGGGCGTTCGGGGGTTTTTTATAAACTGATGATAATGTCCGGTTTCCGTGTGTGTGTGTGTGTGTGTGTGTGTGTGTGTGTTAGAGTGCGGCACAAGCAGCATATTTCTGTCCGAACCCGAACCGAGCTCGACATTATTTAATGACCAAAGCACTGAGTTTGTGTCACACAGTGGTTACAGGCGATTTAACAGGCCGGGCGTGTGCCGTGGGTGCTCAGCAGCGGAGAGGGAGACCTCCGTGTTTGAGACGGGAGCGGGAGGCGGGAGGTCCGACGCTTCTAGCGAGAGGAGAGGGAGAAATAAAACAAAATAAGATAAAATAGGAAAAACCTGTCTCCCTCTTTTATTTTATTTTCAGCGTTTAATCAAGGCGGAGGCGGGCGGCTGGAGGTCCGAGACTTCCAGAGAGGGGAGAGGTAGAAACAAACAGCCAATGTGTGTCTGTGTGTGTTATGTTCAGGTGTTGTCACGTAAATAACAGTGCCCAAGCAATAAACAGGACAGACAATAGGATTTTATTTATTTTTACACTACATTTTCACTGAAAGCTGACCGAATCCGACCCGAGCCCGAATACAATTTATAGCTACATTTTTGACCAAACCTGGCTGACCCGTCGGGTACCGTCGGGCTCGGATCGCCACACTCTAGTGTGTGTATATGTCCCCTATTGGGGCCTATCTGAATTTCTGTCTTTGAGAGATATTATTTTGTAATATAACTGAATTTTCTATCCATACATATAAACTTTAAATATATTAAAATTATAAGGCATCTTTGAGTAAACTGCGAGTATCATTTAAGTAGGCTATGTCGTGGCCGGCCGAGTGTCCTCTTTTTTGGAAATCAAAATATGGTCACCCTACCCTTGAGGTATTCTTGTGATATCCTGTTCACTGGAATGAGACGGATGCAAGGTCACAGGGACCTTGATCTTTAATCAAGGTCCCTGTGACCTTGACCTTTGACCACTAAAATCTAATCAGTTCAATCTTGACTTTAAGTGGACGTTTGTGCCAAATTCAAAGACATTCTGCAGCCCTAAACTAGTTGCCAGTTTAGTGTTAAAACTGCTGTGGTGTATTCTTTGTAGTGCATGCCTTATTACATGATCCAGATCTTCATCAAAAGGTGCCATTTTCATTGTGTAGGTTTTTAGCTCTGAGGTTGTTGTTATTGCTTTTCATATTGAAGGGGATTTTGGAGACGGTAAGACGTAGACAGCAGAAAGGGAGGGAGAATGCTAGCCTATAGCCGGCCAATGGCAGGTTTACTGTTATACTCTACATCCGGTGAGTCACACTAGGAAATACCCAAATGTTGCTGCCAGCAACATGAAGCACAGATACTAAACCTGATATGAGATATGTTATCAACGTCACGGAAAAAAACATGACGTTGACTGCAGGACTTTTTATAACTATGTTGCTTATTACTTATGTTTTTTTAGTTTTTTATCTGATAAAGATCCTTTGGTCCCTGCACAGTGTGTAGAAAAGATTTACAACAATTTTACAAATAATGGGAGACTAACTGAGCACTAGTGCTCTACTCAATATTCTGTAACTAGTAAAGGACCAAAAATAGTTTCTTTTCAGGTTTTCGCTCAGACTTGTTCATGTCATGCTCCATAAACAAGGAGACACAGAGTGGCTTAATTTATTATTTCCTTCTTTGCATAAAACAAGCATCATGGACAGATCCACTTACCCGTTCACCTTTCTCCCCCTTGGTTCCAAGAGGACCCTGCAACACAGAAGAATCAATGAAAAGAGGAAAACACAACACAAACCCATGAAGGATCTAACACTGCAAACACAACCTGTTCAGATTTCATGGAGCATGGTGCACTCCTCAGGTTGAAAAACAAACAAAAGCAACAAAACAACACAAAGTAAAGGATTTTCTCTCCTTTCCTCTGACATGACAGCATGCAAATCCTCTTACAAATCTGGAATTCTCTGTTTCTTGTTTCCTTTCTGCTTTATCTTGATTCATGTTGACAAATTCACGGTGTCAGGAATATTTTGTTCAAAATAAACTTTTTGGATTAAAGCAGCAGTAGCCTTCAGCTGGGTCTCACACTTCTTTTAAATGTTAAACACGTGAAAGCTAAAAACATGAAGTAAACACATGTAGAGCACTGAGTAAAGACTGGATCTAGACAAAGTTCTCTTTCGTCCAACAAGACGTTTAACCTTCAGTGAAGAGTGTCAGAAATGTGTTGCTTTCATCAGACAGATTTCAGGCTTGCAAAACACAACAGATAAAATAAAAGTTAAAAAAAAACATTACCTATCTCGAAGAACTTTTCTTTACAGGGACAGTTCAACCCAAAATCTTACCTGTAATGCCATTTATCACTCTAGATTGTTTTGGTCTGAGTTGCCGAGAGTTAGAGATATCTGCTGTACAGACGTCTGCTTTAACTCCAATATAATGGAACTAGATGACACTTGGCTTGTGGAGCTCAAAGTGCCAAAAAAATACAATTGAAAATCTCAAAAGCATCTTTACAGAAATCATGACCCGGTTACTCAAAACAATCCACAGATGTAGGAACCTTTTTCCTTTTTTTTTTTTTTTTTTTTTTTTACAGATACAAATAGTGTACATCACTCGACACCCAAAATGTTTGAGGAGTGGTGTGTAGTTAAGCCACAGTACTGTATATTAAATGTTTTGCTGGCATCTCGGCACGCTGAACTGCCATCTGCGTCAAATACACTGTGCTTGACGTCACCACACCACAGAGTTTCTGAACTGTAGCTGCTGATGCAGGAGTGTGAGCTCCTCACCGGGGACAGTTGTGAGATTCCACCCAGCTGCACACACACAGTGAGAGTGCTAAAAGCACAAAATCACACAGTTTATGTTAACGGTTATTAACAGCTGTAACGACAGGTTCAAGCCATTTTAGAGTCAGTGTGAGACCCTTTAACAGCTCGGTGCTGGATGCTAGCTCATGCTGACAGGATAGTTGTTGAGCTGACAACCTGCTGGGAGGAGAGAGGGCAGGAACAGAAAGTTTGCTAATCCAGTGGGAAGTCCAGACAGTCCAGCATAACACCCTCAGTGTAAAAAGGATCAAATACAGGTATTGGAAACGTTTTGATACTACTTGATACTGGGTTATTTTGGTCATCAATTTTCAAGGAATCCTACACCTAGTCCCACTTTCTATCGAACTACACCCACCAATTGTATCACTGTGCAGAAGGAAGTGTGCATCTCCTGCTAGCTCACCTAGCACCACTGAGGCCCCAATCACATAGAAAGCATTTTAGCAGTTAGAGGCGGCTCTTTGTAACTGTTTTTTAATAAGAAGCTTTTTGCTCGCGTTTCTTGCATTGAGATGCGCCTCACTTTTCTGCACTTGAGGAGCCAGGTGTTTTTGCCGGAGTGCTCTGAACTCCTTGAGTTGAAAAAACTTGAACTCAGAGTAGTCATCTTTTTTCCCCAGTGTCCAATCGGATTATTTGAGAGGAGGGCCTCCTGGAGGTTGCTGGATACCCGGAGCTATACGGCCTAACAACAGACAGCAGGTTGTCATACTGCCCCGGAGTAATCCTAAAATATGCCTGGAAACAGCAATCATGGAGGCGAAGCTCCTGGACCAACTGGTGGTACTCCCCATGATCCACATCTTTTGTAGGGTCTCATGTACCCACACAGATCTCCCTGATTTCCCTGTGCCCAACAAACTATTTACTGACAGCCTCTCAACCCGAGCTACAGCAGGTACACTCTGCCTGTCCATTTTAGGAACAAACTACTATTTACTGTGGAAAAAAAAAGAAATGGTAGATTGATTACACAGGAAGGTCAGTATAAGGGTGTGATGGGGTGGTTGCCTGGCAACAATCAAAGGTACAGCAAGCGTTATAAGCGTTAATAATCTTTAAACATTTTATACAAAAAGTGTCATTTCCAACAACTGAACTGTATTTTCCTCTGGTAAATTCACATTAAGACCTGTTATTGACAAAAGCATGGTAATTAGATAAGGAGGGCTCTTTGCAGTCCACCCATATATTTGTAATTACATGCTTGACAACATTTTTTTTCTTTCACAGTGATGCAAAGTAATTTGCCAGCAGTTTGTTTCACCTCCCACAGAATCTCATTTTGTCTTTGGCGCTGCAGTCGAAATGTGATTTACTGTCTGTGAACATTTCATTTAAACAGGAATAAATGCCAAAGCAGAGAGTGGTCACATCCTGAACTCAACTCTGTTACAGCAGTGAACAATATGATGAACAGACTGCATTCTGATATTTTAACGTGAGAACAGTAAGCCTTGATGATGGTGGCAGAGCAGCCATACAGCTGCTCATCAGGTACAGTTTAACGCTCAGTGTTTTGCTCAAGGATACTACATGCAGACAGGAGTCAAGATCGAAATAACCACGGCGGGTTTAACAGATGATGCCGTCGTCTCACTTGAGCTGCTACCTGGGGTGTTTTTATTTACTGTTCAGTCGAGTGGGAGTTTTTCTGTTTTTAAGGGGACTGAAGTGCTTCAACAACTCTGTTAGGCCTCTAGGATCCAACATCAAAATCACTTTACGCAGTGAAATAAACATCAGTATCAGTATCTAATTTTCAGCAAGCACATTTACTGTCACATAATCATTAATAGAAAGTGTGGAAATTTATGATAAATTTTAAATGATTTAATGAAAGTTCTTGCATTCAGTGTGAAAAATATACGTTTCCATAGTCTTATATCAATATATTTATAGACCACATCACAAGCTAACACTCAACAAGCACTGTACATACATGTAAGTTAACTAGAAAGGAGAACAAGGTCAGGGGGAGCTTTTTTGTTTTGGTTACGGTGACGCCTGAACATAATCGGGACCTAAACGTTGCCCAGTTAGAGCCACTACTCTACAGCAGCTGAGACTAAAAAACTTTTGTGTTTTGTTAGTTTAGAATGAGCCTTTCATATCTACATAGGGAGCAGGTCCTCTTCCACAGAGTCCGCCGTGTTTCTGGCCAGAGGGCTTTCTGCCACAAATCTTTTCATTTTAACCCAAACCACAAGTTTTCTTTGATTTTCCCTCCCTTCGTGGCAGAAAGCCCTCAGGCAAACATCCCTCCCTACAGCCATATTTCTACAGTAGCCCAGAATGGACAAACCCAACACTGGCTTTAGAGAGCACCTTTTACGTATTTAGCTGAAGAGCACCGTAGGTTGTCTCCACACTTGGAAAGGTAGGCATTAGGGCAGGGGTATTTAGTTGGTTGTAATCTGTAACCTCACTGCTATATCCCACTAAATCCTACACACTGGACAAAGGGCTGGACAATATATTGATATTATATGGATATTGTAATATGGGACAGATTTTGGATATCGCAATATCATAAGTGGTGCACTTTCCTGGATTTAAAGGCTGTATTACAGTGAAGTGATTGCCTGGGTCCAGACCCTTGAATCCGCCCACTCCACTGAATCGAGTTTACTAAAGCTGAAAACACAATGCTGCCACTGCAGAGTGACGCATCCGGTGTGTGCTAGGGGTGGCACTTGATGCGTCGCACTGCAGCTTGATAACAGATGACCACACAAAGCTATTACTACTTTCAATGAAAGATCTGCACTTCTTCCACCTCTGCCTCTTCCACAAGTCATGTGTGGACAGCCACTAATTAAACTTTATTTCTCACCTGAAGAGCTGATCTCCAAGGGCAATATCTTTTTTGCCATTGTCTTTATAATGACAATATTGTGGATTGTTAAGCTCGGGATATTTCTCGACCTCAACAAGTCTTTCATCATCCAGTCTTTGTCACACTCAAGACAGAGCAACAGCTACAGAGTTTTCTTTATACATCCACAGTGAGCAGAGGAGTCAAGCTGCCATAGGAGCAATGAAAAAGTGCTGCTATGGGAGCTGGCATCTACAAGTGGAGAGCAAGTGGGAGAAAAATGCATTTAATTCCAGGGGCGGCGAGGCTGGAAATAGGACAGTGGCATGAAGTGCCACCAGGAGCGCCGACACATGTCTTGCTGCTGCCGGTGTGGGGTTGTACAATGAAAATAAGAGGGGTGTTTCTTTTGACACGCGATATTCACCGCAGGTGTGTTTTAGCCTTGATTCATTCTGTGTGGAGTTTGCATGTTCTCCCCGTGTCAGGGTGGGTTTTCTCCGGGTACTCCGGCTTCCTCCCACAGTCCAAAGACATGCAGGTTAGGTTAACTGGTGACTCTTGATTGCCCGTAGTAGGAATGCGAGCATGAATGGTTGTCTGTCTCTATATGTCAGCCCTGTGTTTTAGTCTAACGACCTGTCCAGGGTGTACCCCGCCAAATGTCAGCTGGGATAGGCTCCAGCCCACGTGCGACCCTGAATAGGATAAACTGCTAGGTGGGACTCAATTAGTCAACCAGTGCCAGACTAAAGATGGAAACGTATTCTAATGAGTTGAAAATTTTGTGTGATGTCAGGCAAGTAATTTTCTGAACTTACCAGACTGCTCTGGCTGTTGTATTATTTTCCTTTAACTACTTAGTCATTATATCCACATTACTTATGATGATACTTACTTCCAATATCGACTTTGAGGTATCTGGTCAAAAAATATTAAATATAATAAAAGATAAATATTTACTTTTTGTTCATATCGCGCTAACTGGATTGTTCAGCAGTTTAATGTAGTGATTCTGAATCTTTGAAGAGAAAACCATTATGCATAGAAGATTCTGTTATTTTTCCCCAACCTTAGTTGATGCACGAACTTGGAAAATAAGATTAGTTCTAACTGTTCATCTTGTAAAACACGTTCATAGAGAGATGATGGAACTAACTGCTTCTGACAGAGGACAGGAAGCATTTTAACTCTTTGGTGGGTCCATCTTTGTTTAACAGTGCGGTAATAGTAAATGTCTAATGAACATTTTTAGGAAGGCAGGTTGAGGCTGACAGTCTCGTGGACCTTCAGACCAGACAGGAAGCTGTTTATCCTGCTGACAGACACTTTCACTGCACGCTGTGATTCTCTGACAGACTCTGTTAAGACTGACTGACACAACTTCCTGCCTCTTCCTGGATAGTGTCCACATTTGTACAGCAGCTTTTCTCAGAAAGGCGATGGGAGACATAAAAACAAGGTGGTCTTGTGCAGGTGTAAACCCAGACTGGCTAGGAAAAGAAAAGTATCGTCTCCTGTGTTCAATTTGCTGACGGACATACTCACTGGTGGTCCCAGTTCTCCCTGTTTTCCTGGAGGGCCTGTGTTACCCGGGGCCCCTGGGGCTCCTGGTGTCCCCTGAAGAGACACAGGAGGAGGGAGGAAGAATCAAAGTCGACTTCATTGGAATTTCTACACAGTGCAAAGTATTATATATATTATATATCTGTGTGTGTGTTTTTAATTAGGGTGTTTACTTTAGATTGACTAACAGGTCTAACCACAGTAGGATCAAAGCTCTCTGTAAAAGTCCTGGTTTGAAACAATCTCAATACCAAAAGCAGTCAACACACTTTTGATTGCTCGATCTCCACTGGCCTGTTACCACTGGACTGTAGAGCTTTAAGGTGATTTACAAAATTTTGGTCCAGTTGATCAGTACAACAGCGTATAGTCTTCAATTTCTTTTCTGTGTTCACAGTTATCAACTTCAAGCTGACATTACCACTGCATTCAAAGTCAAAAAATTTCCCAACCTAATAACCACTTACAATAGTTCCTGTTGGACCCTGTCTGCCCGGTGGGCCGTCTTTGCCTGGCAGTCCCTGTGGATGAGAAGATACATATGTTGAAAATAAATGCTGGTATTTGTGTGCATAAAGTATTTTTAAATAGAGCTGGGTAATACATCAATATCACATCAGCACTGTAATATGAGACTAGATATTGCCTTAGATTTATGAATATGATAAATTGTAAGTGTTGTCTTTTCCTGATTTTAAAGGCTGCATTACAGTAAAGAGATGATTATATCCTATTACTGATGATTATTTATCAAAAATCTTGTGTAAATATTTTGTGCAGGTACCAATATTCTACCCTGCAATATTGATATTGAGGTATTTGAATACCAAAAATACTGTGATATTTGATTTTTTGCAAATAAACATTTTTACAGTGTGACGTTTTTTGGTGCGCGGGGCTTAGCTTAAGGCAGATCAAGTCTCCACAGACATTAGTTAGCACTAGCTAGCAAGTTCTGTTGGCTCGTTTTAGACAGTGGAGGGAAATTATGTGAGTGGTGCATTCGGACATACTCATTCTTTCTGGGAGCGCGATTGTTACTTACAGTTTGTTTTGCTATCAAAGCTAACATAAGCTAAAGCGCTTAAAAGCTAGTGTCACACAAAAATCCAATATTCCTTTTAATACCTCCCCAATTTCTGATGAGGTGGACATGATAACCCTTAATACACATAATGTTATGCATCCCTACAACAGGAAATACTTACCTACAGTAGTGGTTAACTAGGTGGCAGAAGGAAAAGCAGGAGCTACCTTTACTGCCACTGCAGTAGGAGACAACCTTTTTCATGCAGGAATTATTATATCACAAAGTAATATGTTTTAATCTTAGTTTATATTTAAGTAAAAAATCATGCCAGTAACTTTTTTCAATTTAATGTATTCTGAAGGAGTCACACTACACACTACACTTGTAGCTAACGTTAGCTCGAGCCTTAAATCACAGTGGTCCTCCCCTTAACTCCCCACTGCACCTCACTGGGAGGAGAGCGGGCAGCATCTCCAGAGATAGACCCTTAGTCGGCATTCTCCAGAGCTGCTGTCCGCTCTCCTCCTGGCAAAGCATACCACAGCAGCGGGGACAAGGCAGAGGGACAGTGGGCTGGTGCAGTTAACTCTTATTTCATTTGTGGTCTGATAAACAGAGAGAGAGAGTGGGCAAGGAGGGGCTGAGCTTTTTTTTTTTTTGCCTTTTCCAGATTTCTGCCTTCCTCAGCTTTAGTGGTGATATTTATGAAATGACTCACTCTGGGTCCTGCAGGTCCTTCTCTGCCTGGAGCTCCAGCTCTGCCAGGAACTCCCTGAAAAACAAAGAGGAGAGCAGAGGAATCTGCAGGTTACATACATACCAAGTCTTCATCTACACACATTTAACAAATGACAGTAATATTTTTAAAAATTGTGTGATCGTTTGAGCCGCAACACTCAAAATGTTTGATATAAAATGACAACATGACAACAACAACAAAAAAAAACCCTCCATGAAGTGGTAGGTGATTTGTTTGTAATATTTGCACATATGTTTTAGGTGATAGCTCTAGTTAGGGCCCTTTGTTGCATCACTTTGTATACGATCAACTTTCCATCACAAGCAAAAATGGCACAACATTGAAATCTACTGACACAGACTGTGTTGTTGCACAAACACTGTAAGATTTAAACATGCTGTAGTGTCACAAACTCTGGGAATATAAATAGATTTGAACAACAGAAATCAACCTTTTGCAAATGGCACCATTTTTCAAAATCTGACAACTCTTTGCTTCCAAAAGGTCACATTAGTCCCAGTAAGTTACAGTGGAGCATAATTACTTGTGGGAGGCTCTTTTCAAGTAACAGGCCTTTCTGAAACAGCACACTGCCCACTGTTCTGTCATGAACACAGTTAATTCATTCAACCAAAACAGTAGAAAATTAAATTTTACCAAATACTTCACAGCTTGCCATCAACCCAAACAAGGAGAAAAACTGCATTATATAATTATCAGATAAAGAATGTTTACTTTAGTAGTTTAGTAGCTGTTTGGTCCTGGTTTTGTAAAATGATGTAGTGAGCACACACAAGTGACTGCAGACGTTGGTGTCTTAATAACAGTAACCTGTGTAAAGCGCACTATTCACATGTGTGACTCACATGTTGATCATGCAGACTGAACCCAGCAGGATTTTGACATCAAATTAACATTATACAACAGTTAGTTCCGGCCATGCAATCTGATTGGTCGAGAGACAGTAAAACCGTGAGACAGTAAAACCGTGATGATATTGGAGTACAACATCACGGTTATTTCACTGTGTATGTATCACTCCGCCTCACAGCTGATTGCAATCAACAATCAAATCAAAACTGACGGTTAGTGTCAGTTAGGTCAGCAGTTGCGTTGTAGGCTAATTAATTCATCCACTGTCAAACAGCCAAAAATATGGATTTATTTTCTAAAATAAGTTTTGAATTGAACTATGAATGGTCATCAGAGGAAGATGAGGGAGAGGAGAAGCTGAATCCATCTGAGCACACATCCAGGTTTGTCAGTGTTTCATCAGCTGAGCTCAATGACTTGGAGAAAAGCAACATACTGTCAGATCAGAAGGCAGAGTCAGCTGTGCCTGTAAAGCGACAGTCCACCATGCAGTCACCAGAGACTTATTTCACTGGCTGCACAATTAATGGAAACGTGCAAATAAATGTGTATAAAGAGTAAGTGCCTGGCGCACCATGTCTGCGTTACATAGCAATGGTGACAGCGGAGTCCTGAGGGAACTATTTTTGTTGGTGGAAGACAAATAAAATGCTTAAATTATCTATTTTGTCCTCATTTTTCAACATTTCTTAATCAGCCTTGCTTATTTAACTGTTGAACTGTTGTATAAAAACAATATCACCTACCTGCGGCCTCGTGCCTACGACCGAATCACAGCCGTGACGATATCACAGTACAACATCACTCCCTCTAGTGTGATATTGCTTAATTAACATACAGAAATGTTACAATAATTGCAGATTAAAAGCCTTTGCACGCTGAGTCCATTTTTTCGGATGCGGTTTTTTAATCCGTCATCCGAAAAAACTCAGAGAACACACAGAAACATTGCACAGTTGATTTTGATGTGTTTTAATGTTCTATTTGGTTCAAAAATTCACAGGAAGAGACAAAATGAAAAGACACATTTCCCCCTTAGTCTCCCTCCACTGGAGTTACCTATCTGGCTTTCATCATTCCCTCCCTGTCTTTCATTTTGCTCCGCAGCTATATGAAGGTGTGGAGCTGTCCTTTCTGTGTGTTTCCACATTCTGTGTGCGGCCCACATCCTCCTCCTCTTCATCATCCACCTGATTATTACTATCTGACCCACTGAAAGTAGCTGCCTGAGTTTTGAAATGATTCTGTGCGCCCCGTTCCTCAGTCTTGTTGAGGCTGTGTCCCGCCTCCACATTTTCTTCACTGACTCTTGGTCAAACGTTTCTAAAGGCTTCTGACGGATGCGAAAAACGCAGAAAATCTAACCTCTTCCGAAGTTTTTAATGACAAACGAAAGTTTGGGACTCAGTGTGCAAATGCGATTGACACAAAACGCGGTCATATTTTTTTTATTTGTTTTTACAAAGAAAAAAAAAGGACTCACTGTGCAAAGGCCTTAAATGTTATTTCACCTTAACCAAACAATAAATCCAGCACAATTGCATTGTTTTTTTGTTGTTGTTTTTTTACCTGTGCTCCTTGTTGTCCAGCTTCACCTTTCTGTCCTCTCTCTCCTGGAGCACCCTGCAGATAAAAGGACACTTTTAAGGACACAAGTTCCAACGATGTAAGAAATACTGTGTTTTTTCTATACTTACAGTATGAATTGCATCTTAATATAAGAAAACTGTGACAGTAGATGTTATATTCTTTTATACACACTCCAAGGACAGTTACTGACTGTGTCGCCATATGAATTAACTTTCAAGATGAAAACCTAATAAATATGGAGAAAGTTTACTTGTATCAGGATTATACTGCCAGTGATGTGCTCCTCAGTTCTATGATGAGAATGAGAACTGGGTATGTTTGTCTTACTGGGGGTCCTATGATGGAGCGTCCACTGGGTCCCTGTGGTCCTTGGGGTCCCTGAGGTCCTGGTACACCTGTATCACCTGCTGGACCAGTGGGCCCCTGGAAAGAGAGAGGAAAGAGACAGAGAGTTAACAACAGACTCTCTTGTTGGCACATGTATTGTCTTGTATAGCCTGATGTGAGGACACTGGGCCATGTCAAACACTCTCCTAAAGACTTGCTGCTGATTGGCTAACCTCAACAGCTCAACACTTTTTTGTTGAACACTGACATCCAACAAGGACCAAGATAAAAAACTGCCAGGTGCTTGCTTAACCTGTACTGACAGGTTACAGCGTCAGATTAGGTGAAAGAGTCATAAAGTCTTGTCGTGAATGTAAACAAACAATGGCGCCTGAAGTGGTGTTTATGATACCAGCGGTGTTGTGGTTGGAAAGTCCTAAAAAAGAAAAAAAAGTGGCTGTGACCTTTCTCTTTTACACCTCCACCCAAGCAGCAACAACCGGGGCTGAAAAATTAAGCCAATGCTGAAGTGCCAAAAACTGCAGTTCTTCTGATGGCCACTTGAGGCTGGCTCCAGGAGAGAGTCAATCCCTATAGACCCCAATGTCCAACTTTACAGCAGAAATAAACATGTTTACGGCCTGGTACAAAAAACGGTTTTGGTCTCCACAGCTAATTTCAACATTCAACTGTACAGGGGGGTACTTTTTTTTTTTTTTTTGTATAACTAACCTGTAAAATTTTTAAGGCTTTAAGTTATGCATAATGAAGGGCAGGGCTGCTTTGAGTGACATGCTATCTACAACTCATCACCACGGTCTACCAGTCAGATCCACACCTCAGTCCTCCACAGCTAGACTAGGCAAGGCAGCTTTATTTGTATAGCACATTTCATACACAAGGGCAATTCAAAGTGCTTTACAGAGCAATAAAATGTAAAACATTAAAAAAAATCACTATTTAAAAGAACAAAAGTTCAAACAAGAGGTGCAAAGATTATTTAAAATGATTTAAAACTGAGTTTAAAAATAAGGTTGCAGTCATTACAGAGTGTTGTAGGCAGTGTAAAACAGAAATGTTTATAAATTTGACTTAAAATTGGTCAGAGTCAGGGCTGTCTAACATCATCTGGGAGGTTATTCCAGGTTTGTGCTGCATAATAACAAACCGATACTTCAGCATGTTTTGTTCTGACTCTTGGGACGGTCAAAGGGCCAGCCCCAGCTCCACCCTCCTGTCCATATGGTCACTTAAAAAATCCAAGACGGAATCAGCAAAAATGCCAATGACGAGGCTTCAGAGCCAGGAACCCAGGAAGTGCACCAGGCTCTGAAGTCAATATATGTAGTGGCCAAACAGTAAAATTAAGTCTGGCAGGTGATGCCATGTGGCCCAAAAATACTTTTACCCATATACTAACACGGTGAAAGAGACGTCTGTAAATCAGTAATACATTCTTTTGAGTGCCACAACTCCTGCAAAATGACTCACTTCACTATCAGAATTAGATCCATTCAGTCAGACATTTGGAAAGTCTAGAGGGGCCATACAATTAAATCATTTTACCCCCGTTCAAGATAGCTGAGTGCTAAACTGGCGAAAATGCGCCTGTTCTTTGGGCCACACAGTGTGGAAGCAGTGCTGATCATCGGAGTAATATGCAGAAGTCGACGTTCTTTGGCTTCATGTGCCACTGAGCAACTTTCATAGGACCAGCCTCCAACGCTGTATCCAGTTCTCTTTATACATCCAAGCTCAAAATGGAAGTCACCAAACCAATGTGTGATGTCACGATGGCTACGTCCATTTTTCTTAAAACAGTCTACGCCTCCACCTTGCACCAACAACATTGTTCCTCTTTCACTTAAACATGTTTACACTTGAAGAGCGCTCTGTGCTCTTATTGGTCAAAGTCACAGTACATGTCGCGGAATTTTGTCATATTCATGAAGAGAAGGCAAAACTTTTCTGATATGCTCCGCTTGCCTCACAGTTTTGTAAAAATGAAATGGTGATTCCAGACAGAAACAGACAGAGGAGTCTACAAAATGTGCTTGAAGGATATATCCAGGATGTCAAACTGACTGAGCAGCAACAACAGGTTAAAAAGACAAAGATAGTTAGAAGCTAAAGCCGAACTATAGGCTACAGATCACAGTGTAAAAGTGAACCACTACACCAGTGGTGATCGCACAGTAGACAATAAATATAAAGGGAAACTTCGCCTATATTGAACCAGCTGTGTGGCATTGCAGTGTGTGCAGATGAACGGTGTTTGGCTTCGCCCCCGGTTCTCCACTGCTGGACAGGCAGGAATCTCCTGGGCAAATCAAATGTTCATCTGCGCACAATGTGATGACACACAGCTGGTTGAATATCAGCAAATTTTCCCTGCTTCCCTTCACTGATTCCTGTACGGCAGGGTTGGTCTCTATTTTAGTGTTATAATCACTAAAAAGCAAAAGCAGCATGTTGCTATCATCAGCAGCTAGCTAGCTAACCCTACACTCTTCAGGGTTTGATTTTGGTTTTGGAACAGGGAGAAACATATATCTTTTTCCAACCTTTCCAGGTAACAAGTGTCATAAATATACGGCTTGCCCCAGGCACAACATTTAGCTCAAAATCTACAAAACCAGCCTGAAAATGAAGGAAATCTGAAACGTTTGCATTAGAGGCAATGGAGCACAGCTGTGTTGCTGTCCGACCCTGGTCTGAGCTGGACCAATGCTACTTTATGATTGGCCAGTCTGCTTCCGGGGGCGAGACTTAGCGAAGGGTCAACTGTTGTGCCCAATGCCCATTCTCCTCCCCGACACCACACACTTATAGAGTCAGGATAATATCTGGTTTACATCATGTAGTCTGAACTTACAAAACAAAAGTGCTTGTTTAAGCAATATCACACGAGAGGGAGTGATGTTGTACTGTGATATCGTCACGGCTGTGATTCGGTCGTGACGATATACGAGCATAACATAACGAGCTTGAGTGTGATATTGCTTTTATACAACAGTTTAACAGTTAAATAAGCAAGGCTGATTAAGAAATGTTGAAAAATGAGGACAAAATAGATAATTTAAGCATTTTATTTGTCTTCCGCCAACAAAAATAGTTCCCTCAGGACTCCGCTGTCACTGTTGCTAAGTAACGCAGACATGGTGCGCCAGGCACTTACTCTTTATACACATTTATCTGCACGTTTCCATTAATTGTGCAGCCGGTGAAATAAGTCTCTGGTGACTGCATGGTGGACTGTCGCTTCACAGGCACAGCCGACTCTGCCTTCTGATCTGACAGTATGCTGCTTTTCTCCAAGTCATTGAGCTCCGCTGATGAAACACTGACAAACCTGGATGTGTGCTCAGATGGATTCAGCTTCTCCTCTCCCTCATCTTCCTCTGATGACCATTCATAGTTCAATTCAAAACTTATTTTAGAAAATAAAGCCATATTTTTGGCTGTTTGACAGTGGATGAATTAATTAGCCTACAACGCAACTGCTGACCTAACTGACACTAACCGTCAGTTTTGATTTGATTGTTGATTGCAATCAGCTGTGAGGCTGAGTGATACATACACAGTGAAATAACCGTGATATTGTACTCCAATATCGTCGCGGTTTGACTGTCTCTCGACCAATCAGATTGCAGGGCCGGAACTAACTGTTGTATAAAATATAATAATACAACAGTATTTCAGCAGGCTTATGCTCCAACACAGTAGCTTCCAATAGAGCAGCAGACAACAACAGCAGAGTTGTCGGTCATTTTACATTACACTCGGTCTTCCTTCCAAACACTGTTCATACACACTCACTGTAACAGGTGAGTTTCTGCACACTAAGATGAGATGAACGAAAGACTAGAGAAGACCATCAAGTAGAAAAAACATTTATCAATATCTAGAAATTTTGTTAAGAGTGGTCATGAGATTGATCGACTCTCAATTTTTGTAGGGTTTTCAAAGACCTGTACATGTATCTGCCTAAATGTCTTTCCTTGTTTTTGTTCATCATATTATTCCATAGATACAGATTTACAGATTTTTCTGTCTTATATTGGATAAAAATGAGTACATCTGTACATGGTAATGGTAAAGATTAGGTATGAGTCTTGGAGAGTTGGATGCATTTACATCTTTTCAACAACTGGAAACTTCCAGGAGGATGTAAGATTTGACTACTTCCTGGAAGAATTTACCAAGGTTCCCACACATTTTCATGAACAAAAATTTCCAAACTTTTTCATGACTTTTCAAGGACCCATAATAAAGATTTTTTTTATTGCCCCACTTTTTCAAACATATCAGATTCAAACTCAAACTCTATTCAAGCATAATTTAAGCTAGCAGGCATACAGAGAGGGAGAGACTAACCCAGGGAGAAAATAACGAAACATACGTGATGGTTAACAAATTGTTGTCACACATCAACACGTATTAAAGCTACATTAAGCTGTCAGCTAAAGAAAATAAATTTGCCATTATGTTACATTATGTGGACTTCTATCCAGAATATTTCATTATACACAGCAGGATTCTGTGACTTTTCAAGACTTTCAATGATTTTGACTAATTCAATGACTTTTTCAGGCCTGGAAAATGTGATTGTGAAATTTCATGACTTCCTCAGGTTTTCCATGACTGTGGGTACCCTGATTTACACTTGGCTGTTTGCAGTTAGATAGCTTTCCAATGAGCCAGTAACTTGGCTAAATTTAATGTCATTTATGAACCAGTGGGATAAGATAGGAGGCTTAAGTGTACTGCATGACTAATGAGATGTTTGCTGTGGATAACTTTATAACAATTAGTTATTTATGTCATGCATTTATAAAAGACATTCACATACAATTCTGCGGAGTGTGTGTCAATATCATTAAAAGAGCATTAGCTGTGCATCATAGCATTGTGAAACACCCCTTGACACACCACAGCTTGAGACTATCAGTGTAAAAACCTGATTCAGACCCTGAGTTAGTCAAGTTAATACAAAATATCATTATTATCAAAGGTGAATGATGCAATTTCACCACATCAAAAACAAATGAAAGCAGTGATGTGTATCAGCTTTATACGCTAACAGAACCATATCTAACTACAAGCCAAGAATATATGAGTCCTGTTTTCTGTTATACCTATGCTTTAAATGCTGAAAAATGAACAACACAGAGAAAGGAAATACATCTCTTGTACTTTCACATGAAAAAGGAAGTGGCTTCTATGATCTGCAGACAAATCTGAACAGTACAGCTTTTTAGTTCACATGCACACACATATCTACATACAATCCTGTAGCTGGTCTGTGTTGCAATCTAGCCACAAACAAACTATGACCAAGTGCTCAGAGTAAAGTTAAAACTAGGGCTGTCAGAACAATGTGTTCATTTTGATTTATTAATCACTGAAAAAATAACGCATTAAAAAAATGAATGCTGATTAATCATGTTCCGTGGTGCCCTTGAAGGCAACAGTGGTATTGTCACATGATGCTCAGCCCTGTGAATGAAACATTTACATTTAAAAAAAAAAAAAGCCCAGATGGAACTGCTTATAGGAGCAACGTTCTCTGCAATTTCTGCAGTAAGGAATTTTCATAGCATCGGAGAACTTAAACCCTCAAATATCACCTCAACCCAAAGCATTTGGCAGCGAACCCGAAGGTCCGAAGTAGCACAGCCTCTGATGCTAGAGCCAGCAGCCAACCTTGTCAATCCACTAGACCAGGCTTTCAGACACACATTGAGTAAGTGTACGGCTCCATCCAAATGTCCACCCTCTGAACTTGCTAAATGAGTCCTCACGGACTTCAGTTCATACTGTGATGAGTTCACCGTCATCACGTTAAGTCTGTGAGGGCAGAGACCGCAAGACTGTTAGACAGCCCTCAAGACAGTTTTACTCGCTGCTGAGCAACGATTACTACCATTGTAACTGCTGTCAAATTCTGTCTGCTCATCTATCCCTATATAAATCTCATATATAGGGTTGTTTTATGAGTGAACAAAATACATTTCTGTGTAACATACAGACTGCAGACATTTAAATACAGAGGTGTTTGTGAATAAGAACCAAGCTATGACTAAATAAACTGTGTAGGCTTGAGAAGATCCTTTGTTGTTTTTCAGCCATTTTTCTAGCCTATGTACATGGCATTACACTGTGCAGCCTCTAGGGTAGGCTGCAATAACACAATGCATTTTGATTCCCCTACATAGTCTGTTTTTCTAGATATTATTTATTATTTGGATAGCCCTGAGCACTCCCAGACTTCCCAGGAGCACCCTTGCAAAGTCTGCAAGTCTCCAAGTTCAGTGAAGTCAGGATATACCTGTACCGACTGACTCTCTCCCTTGCAAAATAGACTGCAATGGACTGCAAACCAATTTTGGTAGTAGAGGACAGGGGTCAGTTGTGTCCAAAATCCAGCTGCTTTACTACAACACGTCTGCCAAAATTAATTTGAATGTAAATTATTCAAATACTTTAACAGCAAAAGTTGATGTATGTGATTAATACAGATTAATTAATCACAGAGCATGTAATTAATTAGATTGATTCTTTTAATTGCTTGACAGCCCTAGTTAAAACTGAAAAATGTTGTTTGGTTTATAGTGCTTCATCACTCTCAGCTTTGATCTCTGTTTCTGTGTGTGCTTGCGGTCATTTCCGGCTCCATTTCATATCAAGTTTAACATCTGAAAATGTGAATGAGGAAATGGTGGTGGTGGTCATGACATAATATCCATCCATCCATCGTCTAACCCCTTCATCCTCTTAAGGGTCGCGGGGGGGCTGGAGCCTATCCCAGCTGACATTGGGCGAGACGCAGGGTACACCCTGGACAGGTCGCCAGACTATCGCAGGGCTGACACATAGAGACAAACAACCATTATGTTGTGTTTGTATTCAATTAAGGCTACTTAGTAAGGCAAAGCCCTACCTCCCTCCACTTGATTTTGAGAGGGCAATTCACGCTTTCATTACCTGTCTTCTGGATTATTGTAATTCTCTTTATGCTGGATTGGACCAGCAGTCACTGAAACGCCTGCAGGCTGTCCAGAATGCAGCAGCCAGACTGCTGACAGGAAAGAAAAGACGTGATCATATCACCCCGATACTGACCTCTTTGCACTGGCTCCCTGTCCAGTTTAGAGTTCAGTTTAAAATCTTATTATTTGTTTTTAAAAGCCTGAATGGCTTAGCTCCATCCTATCTATCTGAGCTTATTCAGCTTCACACGACAGCCAGAGCACTGAGATCAAGCAACCAGCTGCTGCTGGCCTGTCCCAGAACTAAACTTAAAAGCAAAGGTTGTTTTTAAATGTGCTATATAAATAAATTTTGACTTGACTTGACTTGACTTGACTTGACTATTCCATCAACTGACCCTGCTGCACTGAAAGCAGCTGCTGTGCTGTGGGGGAGTTAAAGCAGTGTTTTTTTTTTGTTTTGGTAGTTTATTATACAGCAGCAACATTGACACTTCAATGTCATTATCAGTGAACAATCTGAATTCTGTTTAACACCTTTAAGTGCTCAAGCATACTTGAAAAACCACAGATCAAATCACACTTCAAAAAAAGTTAATCAGCTCTCACACGTGTATTGGAAAAAAAACGGTTTCATATGCAGAAAGGAAGACTAAAAAGTTTTTATTGCTCAATTAGTTACGAAATTTTAACTGCACAGTGTGTGTGTCTTCCTGCTACCACTTCCTGAATACTATCTATTGATCTGAGAGACAGAGGCAGAAACAGAGCAGCATCAGAATAGAGCACAGCATTATATCTGTGATTTAGAAATACAAATTACATTAAAGCATCTGGTGTCGGAGAAATACAGCAACAGGGTGCAACAGGGTGCACTATACAGCAAATTGTGACTACTGTAAAGCTACTGACACTCATCCAGTGTCTCTTTCCTTAAAATGTCTTTCAACATTTATGAAGACCCAAATCTGAATATGAATGTGAGATACTGCAAAGGAGCCAGAGACAACGGAGGAGACAAAGTGGAGAGACTGGTCGACATTTATGAGAGTGTGGACGCAGACCATCCTGTCTGCACACGGGATGAAGGTACAGAGTTTTTGAATACTGTAGAATCAATACTAAATGTTACTGATGTAATTTCTTTAATTAGGTGCTGAGTTATAAATGACATTTGTACATGATTGTGGTAAAATTGATGAAATTATAGTAATAATCATTCTGAAAATAAGTTTGCCTTGCAACTGTGACATGTACATTTTACCACCTTAACAAAGGATCAATATACATTGGAGCATTTAATACTGATATTACATATATATTGTTTGTATCTTTAATTTGTTTCCTATTTTTACTCCTATTGTGATAATAATGCTGTATTCCTCACTAGCTCTCGAACTCAATCTGCATTTCACTGCACATATAGAATGAACACGTAGCAAAGAATACCTTTAAAATACTGAAATCCAGTCCTTGTAACATGAGCATGATGAGTTATTATGTGTGTGCTCTCATATTGTAATCTTCTTCTGAGTCTGTAGCGTATTCACAGTGACAAAATGACAAAATCGAGTATATCTTAAATACCAGCACGCAAACTAAAGTTACCTGACTTTTCAGATTGTTCCCACGGTGCAGAAAAACAAAAATGGAAAGACAAATATTTTTGTGTAGTCATAATCTCTTGGAGAAACATACAGCTGCCAAATGTAAAATTTAAGTAGTGTTTTACAATTGTGATTTGATTTATGTTTTTTCACGGCTTGTGTCATATTTCCTAGGTGTAAAATGATTACTAAATGAGCCCAATCCCATTCTTATTTTACCCCTGACTGCCTCTTTACCCCTTGTAACAGTTACAGGGGGGTTAAGCTAAAAATGGCTCCATGAACGTCATCAAGCAGGCTCTTAGGTCCTCCAAAAAAATCCTGGACAAAGGAATGATGAAAAACAGGTCAAACTCCACAGTTCAGTACTACACAGCTCCTCGTCTTTTGATGTTTTCAATAAAGTATTTTCTATCATGTATAATGTATTTGGAAAGGAATGACTGATTTTGCCTATTTCATTCAGACCATAATTCCTGCTTTGTACAAAAAAAAAAAAAAAGTTACTTTTTTGTACCGAATCATGACACCACTGTATCATAGAGAACCAAACTGAGAATTTTGTGAATCCTCACACCCCTTTAATAATCGTATTATCACAATAACATTCGCCATTTATCTGAAGGAGATAGAAATACATGGATGATCACGATTTGTTCACAATTTAAGTTAGACACTATCAATCAATAAAACAAGTCATTAAATACCAAAGAACACTGCTTCATTACAAGGCCACTAGCGGTGCACTGTAGGCTAATGTTGGCAACCTGTACTCCTGATAAACCTCCATGTTAAAGTGCCCAAATTTATTGCAGATATAAACATGTTTACAGCCTGGTGCAAAAATGTTTTTTGTCTCTTTGGTTAATTTTCCCTTTTCATGAAAACTGCGCGGAGGGTTATGGAAATATTTCAAAATGTGGGACTGCCATGTACAAATCAGCAATAATAGTGAGCTTCAGAGAGCTAGCTAGCCAGCTAGCTACTAGTAATTTTTTTTTGTCATGTTTGTTTTAAAGAAAAGGACCATAATAATTGAAACAACATTAATCTATGTTAACACAATGGTTATTGTAACTTTTAATTCTTTATTAACGAGGAAAATGCATTTGTGGGTTTCTTTTGTTGCTTGTGCAGCCATCCTGCTGATGATTTCTCATAACACTCAGATTGGAGTGTGCCTCTGAAAAACCTCCATTTGCAGGGCCATGTAGTGCTAACACTTCACCCTACCCCTTCATCTCAACAACAATCAGAACACTTAACCCCTAAACGTGGATGTGCAAAACAGAGGGGTAAAGGGTTACATGATGGGGGCACATAAAGTTAGCTTGCTGTCAGCTCAAGTAGTAATGTTCTGTTCTTCTCTATGTACTTTGCCCCTGCAGGAGCACACACTCAGAAGCATCTTGCAGCTGTCCAAAGAAACCCTTTAAGAACTGCTGCACTGGTTTTGGGTCTGCTGTGTCTACTGCTTGTAGCTGCAGTCATTGTCCTGACCACACTCTGTAAGGACCTCATCTTTATTGTAACATCACATCTGACTGACTCAAAACCTTAATCAAGGGGTTTGATTTGACATTACTGCCCTGTGTTTTTGGTTTTCACCAGATTTTTCAGTCATTTTGGAAAACAACCAGCTGAAGAGCAGTTATGGGGAGCTGCAGAGCAGTTACAACAACCTGAGTAACAGTTTCTGCCAGATACAGGGGACAGAAAGCCAGACACAGGGGAACATTATAGGTGAGAGATGATTAAAAAGGAACACTTTTAGTCTTATATATATTTGTCATTAAATGATTTGAAATGTGTCACTAAAACACTTGATGGAACACAGAATGGGAGAGATTTCGATGCAGTTGTTACTACAAATCTACTGAGAGGAAAATCTGGACAGAGAGCAGGAGAGACTGTCAGGAGAGAGGAGCAGATCTGGTGATAATAAACAACAAAGAAGAACATGTGAGTGTCTGTTGACGTGTTCGTGCTTTACTGTAATGTAAGTCATACTCTATGTGTGTCAGTGTGATTGTATAAAATGGTTTTGGCACTCGGAGATAATCAATGTAAAAACTAGAATGACCGCCTCATGGTTTGCATGACTCTGTGAACCTGCCAAGTTGCAGTTACAGTTTACATCCATATCTGTGAAAACATGGATGTTTCACACACAGGAGATTTAATCAGCACTGTTTCAGGATGGACATCCAAGATAAGTGTCACCAATTCAGTATCTGATAAAATGTCTCCCCCTCTGATCCTGAGTTATTATGCAGATCAACATCCAGAAAAGTGTTTCTGCAGAACATTATGATGTCACAGTGAAGCTGACCTTTGACTTTTTGGATGTAAAATGTTTTATAATTTTAACTTATTAGACATTTCTGTAAAATGTTGTCATAGTTAGCATATGAATTCTTGAGTTATGGCCAAAAACATATTTTTCTGAGGTCACACTGACCTTGACCTTTGCCCTTCGAAATATGGCGGCACGCATGGGTGCAGCGGCTCTTGGCTCCCTGAGTTGGTGTGTTTATTTTGTCTCAAATTCGAATCAGTTTATTGTTAAGTCTAATTGGACATTTGTGCCAAATGTGAAAATAATTTCCCTCAAGTCCCTCTTGAGATATTGTGTTCACAAGCATGAGATGGATGCAAGGTCACAGTGACCTTGACCTTTGACCAAAATTTTTTTAAAAAGTTCATTGTTGAGTCAAAGTGGATGTTTGTGCCAAATTTAAAATTGTATGGACAGATGTATAGACAGATGTGCGGTCAAATGTGTGTACGGTCAACCCTGAAACATAATGCCTCCAGCCACAGCTGATGGCGGTGTGGAGGCATAAAAAGTGTATGTATTTGGGCATTTATATTCTGTGACATGTCATAATTTTGTTTCAATACATTTCAGAAAATGATAGTCTGAAGTTACTAGTTAGATTGCAGATCAAGATTTATGTGAATGTTCTATATCCTTGTGTTTTGCTCGCTGCTTTATTAATCTTCCCATGGACTGCATATGATATTTAGCTATTTGGCTCAACCTGGCACATTTACATCACAGCAAACTAAATGTTTGTTATCCCTGACCCTTAGAAAATGTACTTTCCATGTTCTTTATCCATATCTGCTTCACCATGGAGATTTCTTTCCTTCAGAGATAGTTAAAACATGAAACATGTATTTACATCCACAGAAATACTAGTGTTTTAACAGAGGAATAATTATCTGCTCTTTTCCTTAATTTTTAGGAATTTGTCAGTAAATATCGAGATTCCTGGATCGGTCTGCAGTCAGTGAAAAAAAGCAGCTGGGGGAACGCATGGGAATGGGTGGATGGATCAGTAACACAATATAGGTGAGATCTTTTATTATCATTATATATCAGGGTCATGGTTTAGAGCTAATAGTTGGATGAAATTGAAAACTAAATAGCAAGAGAGTTCCATAGATAATAATCGATCGCTTATCAAGTCCATCATGTTTTTAAATGTTTGTATTTTGAATTAGATGTTTTAGATTAGCACTATGTCATTCAGAAAGTCTTAAGATAATCATTGAACATTCCAACCCATGGATTTGATTTCACATCAGAGGAACATGATGGGTGTATTTTTCTGCATCCCTGTACAAAATCTAAATCTGAAGGACTGAATTAGACATGCTTTGTGCCACCACATTCTGTACTTGAAGTTTGGCTCATATTTAAGAAGTCAGCTCTGACAGTTCAGGATAATGAACTTGCAGTCTACTGCTCAACCACATGGGGGCGCCAACATGTTCATATCCATCCTCCTCTGAGCTGCCCTCTTTACTGAAAGCAGAAAAAAGTGGAAGACAAACAAAAAATGAGAAGAAACTGCTCACAGAATAAAAAACTAATTTCACTTCCTGAACTCTTCGTCTGTGGTGTACACACCAGTTGAAAGACATTAAGAAACTACATTTGAATCTCAAGTGTGTCAGTCCTGACTTCATTATATGAGACAACGACATCTATAATCTGATACCAACAAGGTTTTGTGGCTTTTACCTGTAACAATGTAATGCTTGTTCTACAGGGTCTGGAACCAAGGAGTCAATGTTCAACCTAAGGATGACGCTGGGTTGACAGCATACATTGATCTGGAAGGAACATGGAGGCATACCAAGAGTGGAGCCAAACAATGGATCTGTGAGAGACAGATCTATTGAGTCTAATGTGTGTGTCATGTAACTGTGATGTAATGGGTTGGAATCTTTCTAAGGACCTTTGTTGCATGTTATTTTTCTTTTTTAAAAGTTCTTACTGCCCTTCCAAAAAAAAAAAAAAACATAATAAAGGCAAAGATGAGAAAATAAACTGCACTGCATTAGTGAGAAGTGACACATGGTAAAGTATGAAAAATGTTAATGATTTAAAAAAAAAAAATAGAATATTCAAAGAAACACATACACAGACTTTTCTGCTATTCTCAGAGCCTAAATAGTGGTGCAGCTAAAACCATACAGTTTGTCCTGAGGGTAATGCTAAAGGAAAGGTCATAGAGTATCTAGAATGAAAATGGTTAATCCACTGTGGTGTTAATTTAGTGAATTTTATAGAAAACTGCCCATAACTATGGCTGTACCCAAGTCAGAATTATGTCAGTTCAATCAGATTTAGCTGTTCAATACAAATGTTTGACTTTTCATTCTTGTTTTTTTTCCATATAGAGTTTGAACAGGGTTCAGCTGGAGGACACATAAGAAATGTGCAACAAAGTTTTTTGTTGCCTCTGTATTGCAGCCGCCTGTACTGAAGAGCAGTGTGAAAGTGAGGAGAGCTTACTCTGCAGCAAAATCTGGGGACCAATATGTCACCAGAAGTGCACTGCACACTAATTGACAAAAAGAAAACAACTGTTTGACTTAAAGCAATCTCGGTCGACTGAAAGGTCTCCAACTTTAGTGGGCGGCCCGACCAATTACATATCAGTGTTTCTTTTGTACCACTGGAAGCCGTGGTGTGAGGTGGTTACCATGGGCCCGAGTGCATGCTGGGTTCTAGTTCTAAGGCGCGTACACACACATCTGGCAACTGTTTTTAAAAATGCCAAAAGAATCAAGTCTAAGGAGCTTTACTACTTTGTCCCTTTCATTTCTTCTTTACTGGTGCTTTTCTGTTTAAAAGTCATGACTGTTCGCTGAGCTTGTAGATGTGCTCAGCCTGTCAGCCTTGACAGATATTGTACCTAAAATAGCTACTGTATCATATCGTCTTGTCACATGATCAAATAGAGACTTGACATTACACAACATGAACATACATGTTACCCAACAATCAAAATTGCAGACCTGTATATGACAAAAAATATTAAAGAAAATAAATTATTCATTGAATTGAACAGTTTTTCTATATAGTTTATTCATGGTTTTCCTAATTTATGTAGAATAAGCATTTAGTTTTGTAACAGATTGTTGCTGACTTTTCTACCAAAACAAAAAAGACAAGACAAGAAAATCATGACGGAGATGGGTTTGGAATATCCTATAGCGAATGGCACCATTCAATTTAATGTGAGTTCTTTGAACACAGGCATAGCTTTGAGCTGGCATTCTGAATCATTTGCAAGCCCCCCAGCCCCACCCCACGGGCCCCAGTGAAACCAAACTGCCCCCACTGCCCATATTTACACCCCTAATTGGAAGATCTGGCTTGAAGTTGGCGGTGCTGGAAACGTCAGGGTGTCATTACAATCATTCTCAAGACAATCTACTGTACAGTGGTAAAAGTCTGTTAATTGTTACATCATTGATTGACAAAGAGATGGTGTAATATCTTGTTCCAAAGGAGAACATCCATTTTAATTAATCAATTGTCAAATTTTGGTCTGAAGACAGTTTCAGTTGAGGCAACAGGACTGAAAACGCTCTGCTACTAGTATTCATTTAATTGCTGGACACGATGATCCATTTTGAATTTATTTAATGAAAAGAACAAAAACATATTTTCATATTCAAGTATTTCTTTATTAGATTTGCTCAAAAGCAGATTAAAACAGAACCTGATAAGCTATTAAGTTTTTAGCTGTGATCTTTAATTTTGCATGTTGTGTGATATGCAATATTCATTTGAAATAACATTTGTATTTTTTTCCAACATTTTCGAAAGATTTCGTCAGAATTCTATGAACGCAGATTCTGTGTGGGCCTGCTCACTAGTTCACCAGGGAGTAAAAGGCTTTGAAGCACACTCAATGTGTTAGTCGTAGCTTTGATCTTTACTTTGATTTCTGATCGTGGATCCATGTACTGCTAACTATGCAGGATCACAAAAACTGTCAAATGAATGGGTGAGCAGGGTGGCATGCCAGGTACTCTGAAGGTGGATGGATCAGCACCACAATATAGGGGGGCGCCAACATTTTCATATATATCCTCCTCTGAGCTGCCCTCTTTACTGAAGGCAGATAAAAGGTGGAAGACAAACAGAAAATAAAAAGAAACTGCTCACAGGAAAAAAAAAATCTTCTTGAGTTTGGATTTTAAAAAAACAACCTAAAACATTAATTTACCTCCTGAACTCTTCGTCTGTGGTGTACACACAGTTGAAAGACATCAAGAAACTACATTTGAATGTCAAGTGGAGTGTCAGTCTTGACATTTTATGAAACAACTGCATCCATAATCTGAAACCAACAATGTTTTGTAGCTTTTACCTGTAACAATATAATGCTTGTTCTACAGGGCCTGGCACCGAGAAGTCGATTTTAATCCTAAGGATGGCGCTGGGTTGACAGCATACATTGATCTGGAAGGAACATGGAGGCATACCAAGACTGGATCCAAACGATGGATCTGTGAGAGACAGATCTATTGTGTCTAATGTGTATGTCATGTAACTGTGATGTAATGGGCTATGCAATAGTTCTTACTGCCCTTCCTAAAAATACATAATAAAGGCCATCATGAGAAAATGAACTGTACTGCATTACTTCAGAGGTGGAAAATGTAATAGTACAAAAAGGCTAAAAACTTTCATGACTTAAAAACAATATAATATTCAAAGAAACACATACAGACTTTTCTGCTGTTCTCAGAGCCTTAATAGTGGTGCAGCTAAAACCACACAGTTTGTCCTGAGGGTAACGCGAAAGGAAAGGTCATATACAGTGTCTAGAATAAAAATGGATGCTGTGATGCTTGAAGGTGCCTTATGAATTTAGTAGCAATGTGACCATTACTAGGGCTGTACGCAACTCAGAATTATGTCAGTTCAATCAGATTAGGCTGTTCAATGTTAATATTTGACTATTATTCCTGTTTTTTCCATATAGAGTTTGAAAGTTTAAACAGTGTTTAGCGGGACGACGGATCAGAAATGTGCAACATTTTTTTGCCAACACTAGATAACAAACAATAAGCCAGAGACTGTATTGCATTAAGTTGCTGTAAATTCATCACCTCTGAATAGAAGGTAGAAGATAATGTTACTTCAATGCGTTCTCATCCCAAGTCATCACATATTGACACGTCTATATATTACGCGCTAGGTATCCTTCTGCATCTGCTGTTGACATTGGGAATCCACAATCAATACCAGGATGTCAACAAAAGCACTTTGGTAGGTTTTGTCAACAAAAGCACATGGTTAGGTTCAGAAAAAAAAGAAACACCATGGTTTGGCTCTACATTTGTACGAGAAGTGAACACAGAGCTCTCAGTTGAAAGTCTGATGTTTTCTGGACCCATCCACTTCCCCTCCCACCCACCCATTGGGACTTTACAGCTCCTGACGCAATCCAGTATGCAGCTGTACCAAAGAGCGTGAAAGGAAGGAGTGCTTTCTCTGCAGCAAAATCTCAGGGCCCAAAACATCCCCAGAAGTACAATGCACATTGACCATAACATTTTAGTGTTTGTTTTGTACCATTGGAAGATTTGGCCTGATGTTGGCAGTAATGGAAACATCAGGGTGTCATCACAATCTTTGTTTTAGGGTGGTCTGCCCTACAGTAACAAAAAAACTGTTATTGTAAATCATGGATTGACAAACACATGGTCTAATACAGGGGTCCTCAATGTTTTTTAGGCCATGAACCCCTAAGCTGAAAGAGTGACGAAGGAGGGATCCCCTATTACATATTGTATATTAAACCAGGCTTCTGGGTTTACCCTGAGGCCTCCTACCAGTGGGACATGCCTGGAACACCTCTAACGGGAGGCACCCGGGAGGCATCCTGATCAGATGCCCAAACGACCTTACAGTAACTGACCCCTTTTGACGTGAAGGAGCAGCGGCTCTACCTTTCCTTATCTCTAAGGCTGAGCACAGCCACCCCACGGAGAAAACTAATTTCGGGTGCTTGTATCCGCAATCTCATTCTTTCGGTCACCACCCAGAGCTCATGACCACAGGTGAGGGTTCGTTTGTAGATGGACCAGTAAATCAAAAGCTTCGCCTTCTGGCTCAGCTCCCTCTTCACCACCACGGTCTGGTGTAGCGCCTGCATCACTGCAGAAGCCATACCAAATCACCAATCCCTCTCACGCTCCATTTTGCCCTCACATGTGAACAAAACTCAAAGATATTTAATTTTTGGAAAAAAATAAAACTCTTATAGTTTATACTAAAAGAGAATATTTTCATTCATCAACTGTCATATTTTAACTTCACTTAACATGACAGCTTAGTTGGGAAACAGTTTCAGTTTAGGCAACAGAGGTAACTGATAAAATGAAATTTCCTGTTTTACCCATTCTGCTTTTCCGTTGTGTGTGTGTGTGTGTGTGTGTGTGTGTGTGTGTGTATAGCATTGAACCAAATTGTGAATTAATGTGTGAGTAGATCTATAAAGACACGCATGTTGTTGTTGCTGACAGAAAACCTTCTATCTCACCTTTTTTTAACAAGACAAAAACAGTTTTACAACCATATTTAAAGTATGCCTGACCACCAAAACTAGAGTTACAAAGTTTTAATCCACAATGAGTCAAATAAATAAATGTGTGTGTATGTGTGTGTGTGTGTGTGTTTCTTTGTGTCTGTGTCTGCGTGTGTGTGTGCTGGTACTTCCTTTATGTTCCCTACCGAAACCAGACAAAAGACAGACTATCAAACACTGGCAGCAGCATCAGTGCAGTATATTACGTTACTGAATTTTTATCTACCATAGGACATACTGCATACTTTACTAGTATACATTAAAGTTTTACAGCAGCATAGTGACCATTTAACACAGCGCTGTACATAAAGTGCAGCTCCAGTTTAATTGGCTCTCTCCTCTCAAGATGTCCTCAGATATTTATGCCACACCAGATTTATCAAAGAAGGTGAGATACAACAGACAGGTGCAGGAGGACACAGTGGAGTGGGAGGAAAGGCAGGTGGATATCTACGAGAGTACAGACGCTATCGGGAATAATCACACTGATATTCAGTCACTCGAAGGAGGTAAGTGAGAAATTACACAAACAAATCACGAGAATAAATGTTGGCATTATGCATTTTTGCATGTATGTAGCAGATACATTGCAAAGTCATATTTCTTTATGTTTCAAAAACATTGTGGTCACTGTGTGGTTAGGTTTAGGCACAAAACCACTTGGCTGTGGTCAAGAAAAGGTCATGCTTTGGCTCAAAATACACAGTTTGGAAGCACAATCTGTCAGGAAACACAGCAATGTCTCTGTAAAAAAAAAAGCATCTTGACCATCTATTTTTGTTTTTATAGACATACATAGTATACATATAGTGTGAACCTCTGTAGTTAGCCAGACAATTATCTGTTAAGAGAAAGTACCAGAGAACTCATTTGCAGGTGTTCTGTTGCTTATTTCAAACACAAGCTCGGTGTAATATTTCATCGCACATCATTGTGCTTCATCCCCTTTGCTTATGGTACCATTTAACTGACAAGTGTCATATCTGAGATCTGAAGAAGCATTAATTCTGGTAAAGAAAGTGTTACAACAGCATTACGGCAAGAAGAGAAGTGCAACATGACAAGGTCTGTTGAATATCATTATCAACACAGAGCCAAGAAAGAGAGACTGAGGAGGGGGAGGATGAAACCTATGACAGCTTTTTGTTGTGAGCCATTTGTGCAATTCAGATATTTTAGATGAGGTCATATTTGTTTCACTTTAAAATTCAAAGTGGTTTATATTAGAGTGTTTGGTAACACTTTATGATAACGATCCTTTATAATAGCCTCTACCGCAGCGCTATTTGGGAGCACCACACTGAAGCTCCCCTTGAAGTCCATCAGTTTGGGCTACAGACAGGAAAAGGTGAGACTCGTTTTCGAACTTAGGGACTCACCTGATCCAGCTGTCCAAAACACCAAGGCCCACGTCCGCACAGGCCGCAAGTGGGACGCTGCTAAGGCCGTCGACCAGGCTATTACCCATCTAAAACATCTGGAAGTCGTCGGGTTTCAGCAGCAAGGCAGGGCTGGCTTCGGCTGGGGTCCTACACCAAAGATGTGGTCCAAGGCTTCAAGGAAGGAAAGGAAAGACCTGGTGATCTCCGAAGTCATCAAGATCGAAGAAGAGAGCTATAAAATCAAAGCTGTCAGCCAACAACAACAAGGAAGATAGACGACATGGGAGGCTGTTGTCAACAGAACCATCTCGTGGGCCGATATGTGGAGGATGCCCCAAGCAAGGCTGAGCTTCATGATCAGGACCACGTATGACACGCTTCCCAGTCCCCAGAACCTGCTCCTGTGGTATGGCACAGAGGAGACATGCCATCTCTGCAGCTCCAGCAACCCAAGCCTGCAACACATCCTCTCCGGCTGCAAGGCTGCGCTGACACAGGGCCGGTTCAGGTGGCGCCATGACAGAGTTCTGCGCAAGCTGGCCGAAATCCTCGAGGCCCGCAGGCTTGAAGCTAACAACGCCAGCCCGCTAACATCACGCCAGAGGATCTAGTTCGTCCAGCAAGGAGGCAAGAGCCACAGCAGCAGCACAAAGCAGCGGTCTCTCCTTTCCCCTGGAGGCGAGTGGAACATGAGAGCCTACCTGGACCTGCAACTCAAGTTCCCCCAGGTCATCACATCCACCACCCTTCGGCCAGACATTGTCCTCTGGTCTGTCCCCATGAGGACAGTCATCATGGCAGAACTAACAGTTCCGTGGGAAGAGGGGAAGGACGCCGCCTTCGAGAGAAAGAAGGAGAGATACTCCGACCTGGCAGCTGCATGCCGTCAAGCAGGCTGGAAGGCAACAGTGTTCCCAGCAGAGGTCGGGTGCAGAGGCTTCACAGGTACCTCCACCCAGCGGCTAATGGCGTCACTGGGAGTCACGGGACCCAAACAGAGGAAAGCCCTGAAAGACCTGGCAGAGGAAGCAGAGCAAGGCAGCTTCTGGCTCTGGCTCCGGAGGAAAGACAGAGCGTGGGGGAAACAAGGAGCTTAGGACCTCCAAGTTGGCTTGGTATG